TTGTTAGGGAGTAATGTGGCCACTCCTCTCTTATACACTGATGTATGTGGGGAAAAAACATCAACAGAGTTAGAGAGGGTGTGCACAAAAAAATCATGTATGTTTAATTTTAGCAGTAACTTTACATCGTTCTCTGGATTATGTAACACATTCACATTGAGTGTTATCACACTATATCCTGGTAGAGCATTTACTCCCAGTATTATAAGTTTTGATTCCCCAGACAAATATTACCCTTATGTGGTATGGTTTGATCTACAATTATTATGTATTAAGTAACATCTTATATATCTATGCCTTGCTTAACATTATCATTCATATTCCTCTTGGTAATACCCTGTGCTTTTGTGTGTCTCCAGTCCAGAAACAGTCTCCAGGTGGGGGATATTGACGGGGCCAGGAGGCTGGGTCGCCTGGCTCGTCTGCTCAGCATCGTTGCCATCATTTTGGGGGTTGTCATCATCGTAGTCTACGTCTCAGTTTCAGGTACAGAAACAAAGACAAGAAGGACAAATTTTAAAATACAATGATGTCTGTAAAATAAATGCCAGGGTAAAACCTACTCAGTAGTTGAGAAGAGTCGCTACCATATATGTCACATATAGTGTAATATAGTGTAATGTGTGATAATGACTCACATTTACACACAGTATTTGGTGAAGCGGCAATAACGTCCAGTGAATTGTGCATACATAAAATATCATGTTTGGACTTTCGCTTGCAAATGCCCACTCACAGACACACACAGGACTTTAACAACAAGTGTTCAACAACAACAACAACAACAACAACTGCATTACATGGTGATATATGACACTACCTCACAAGCATGAGATGTGTTTTTTTCTATGTCCGAACTCAGCACATTTCCAAGCCTTGTGTGTGTGTGGGGGGGGGGGGGGGGGGTATATGTGCAGATTGATTTGGCACTGTAGCAAGTGTAGTGGGCTGACTGTGCAGCAAGGGCGGCTACAAACGCCACACCAGCCAAAATAAGGAATTTGATGGTGGCCTTAAGCTGTGTTTGTGTCAGACCTGAATTTCTCTGACGATGCCACGCTTCTACTGTTCTTTCTTTTCCTAGTGTCCCAATGACGTGGAGGGCCTAAGGGAAAAACTGAACCGTGGAAGCCAAACCACAGATGCAACAACAAGGAAAACAACAGCCCTTTCCAAAGAAAAAAATCCTAACATCATGACCACCTTCAGAATGCAAAAAAAATAATAGGCAATTCATGAGAGAAAGTACTGCAGCAAGTAAACAAATGAAAAAAATAATTCAGAGATGCATGCATTAGAATCCAGTTACATTTGCTTGTCAAAAATAACGAAAAGCCTGATGTAGAAAAGTTCAGGTTAAAACAGAGGAAAAAGAAAATGCAGATTTGTATGTGGTCAGGAGGATAAATGTTTCTTTTTGGAGTAATGGACTTCTTAAAATGAAGAGGATGGTCTTATAAGGAGAGTGTGAACAATAGACATTTTTTATGTCTGGGATGGGGCTCCTTTGAAAAAACGGATTCTGGGTTTGGACTTTTTGGACAGCTGCATCTAATCCTCATATATTCCTAACTGAACCTCATGCATTCAAAGCATCTACAGCTACAAATATATTTGAAATATGGATCCATGAATATATATATATATATATAGATGTACATTTTATAAAATGTTTGTATGCCAAGAGGTGCTGGGTTTGTTAAGAGTCACTATGGCTGCTTTCTTAGCACTTGGATTATCAGTGGATTATCCATGGGTTCGTGAAAAGGGGCAGGGAACACATTTTAAATTTTTGTTATAATTGTTTTGGACTAAAACAAAATTGAGACCAACTGCATGCCTGAATGTAGATAACCAAACTTCTGCCTTCCTTTTGACTGTTATTGGTTGTCTCTTTTCTTATTAAGAAGTTAGAGAGGCTAACAGGTTTGCACGTGGAAAAGTACATTATGCGAGTCCAGCCACTGTAGAATGCGTGAGGACTGTGATCTGACCTTCAAAGTCTCTTCAAAATATCTTGAACCTTGCCTTGCTCTGGCAGAGACTGAAACGCATGCCAGACCTCCCACCATCTTTTAATTCCTTCCTTTCACATCCTCTAATTCTTCACCACAAGACCTGACTAAGTGGCTGCTGTCCTTCAGTTTTGTTTCAGTACCTTCATCTTAAACTCCATTTTACATAATACCTTGTACTTGTACCTACCACCTTTGTACACCATCGCTCCCCATTCTTCCATTACCATTCTTCCATTGTTATACATGGACTGTTAAATGCCATTGTTTCACTGAATGTTTTTTCTGCTCCTTGTATTGGTATGAAATGTATTTATATGGGAAATATATTATGCAATATGTACGCATGCTATGGGCCAAACAGGCTTAACACACATTTATTTTTTGTAAATGAACAGGCCTATGAGTTTGAGTTTGATTCAGTAACAACAAATAGCATTTAAATGATCTTTATAGAAAATCCAAGCATGTCACAAGTTTGTCTGGATTGGCCAGAAAGAAGTGACTGTATTAAATCCCCTGTGACTACGCAGGACTGTTGTATTGACACATTACAGGCTTATGCTACAAACACTGGTAACATCACTGTAAGACCATGTAGCATTGTTTAAATCCACAGCTTTTCTTTGGGCCTTAATGTTTCTTTTTTATTATCTTGTGCAATTTAAATCAGGAATCATTTGGTCAAAGTCTCGTTCAAGTGATAAAAACTTACGGCATTTGTTGAGTTCAAGTGGTTGTTTAAGGGCTCATACAAGTGAAACAGGAGAAACACCAGCTAATTACGACTGTTGATGAAGTTTATCAGACTATGCAGCTATTCAGTGATTCTTCTAAAGTCCTAAACTGAGCATCATAACTGTAAGGCTGAACAACTCCAATTATGTCATCTATCAACACTATAAAGCACAATGCTTTGTGCAAAATGTGTTTTTTTGTCAGTTCCATTCCAATTCATAGTTGTATATAAGAATTATTCTTTATCCAAACATCTGAAAGCAGCAAAATCCAAAGATCCCCCTTACTACCAAACATTTTTTAGTACATTAAATTGTTGCTCAATTACAACATGTGTGTAATCTATGTAGATCACAGAGGCTGCTGTAGTGTTACACTCTGTACAAATGTTCCATAATCTCTGAAACTGCCCAAGGTGGGTTAAAATCAAGGGCTGGAAAATTTTGATCTTGATGGCTGAGAATCTTCACAGACCTCTCTGAAACTGGTGTTTAAGAGACAGCGGTCTAGCCTATAAGCTCTGCTCTGTCAGTAAAACAGTTCAAACCTTCATTTCATTCCTGTAGGTTACAGTGTTTCTTTTCCACTGTACTGTTATGTGCCCGTTTTCATCTCTGTGGTGTACATTTTGCATGTCTTGAATAAATGTTACCATGCATGGTCCAAGTTTTTTGCTTTTCGATTATACTGTTTATGAAGACCTGTGTGTTGACAGCCAGAAACAGGCAGAAATGAGTTTAGAAGACTTCAAAATAAGGGTTTACAGCCATGCAGCAACATGTGGATGTAAAGCAGGAATTATGTTCACTAACTTAGTTTAGCATGCTACCATTAGCAAATTCGCACTAAATACAAAAGTACTGCTCAGGATGATAGGGACTGGATTCAAGCATAAACCAAAGAATTGGACAAATACAATTTTACCTGATGATGATGCAAGTTGAGAAGCCAGGGGATCACCAAAGTTGTTACAGTTCATCCTGATAGGAACATAAATACTATCTGAGCCAGATTCCATGGCAATCCAGTTTATATTTGTTGAGATATTTAATTAAATCCTTATATACAGCCTTATGGTGGCGCTAAAGTTTGAGAATCACCAAAGTCAGGAACCTTCCTCTTCTGGGGACAACGAATGTGTTTACAACATTTTATGTCCATCCATGCAATAATTGTTGATTTTTCAGACTGGACCAAAATGTTGGACTGACAGACCCGCTGTGAGTAAGAAGAAATGCCAGATAGCGTACCTCAAATACATGCAGTGATTGGACACAGTAGGAGCTACACCTATATAACGTTATAAGAATAAAAGCCCACATTTGTGTTCAGTTTTTATTGAGACTGAATCAGATTGATTGATTCCACTCTATATTGAGGCTGCAGTCTGCAGTGCTGTTGTATTGGATTGCACTGCACTATATTGTACAGCTGTTGCTTTTATTATATCTGAACTCTGTACCAGTCCGGGTACACAAACACCATTAATCATAGCTGCCACAGCTATGGGTTTTAGATAGCCCTGGGGATAAAAGGGAAAATGAAGAATTCATGACAAATTTTGCACTTTTAAAAGCCAGCTCCCCACACATACACATTCTGAAGAGTAATGGCCTGATGCAACCCTTACAACACCACAATCCTGAAACATAAGAATCCTTTCTTCTACCACTGAAGGTAAGAGCTTTTTCTGGGTTTCAGATATAAGTAGTCTCTTTATTTTGTCAAAACAAACAAACAAAAAAAAACTGTTCACAGTTTAGCTAAAACCTCAGACTTTTCTTGAATGTCACACTCAAAAAGCTTTTTAACTTACCGATAACAATCTGAAGTGACAGAGGCTGTTATGTCATCAGACGAGTGAAGCATCCCTGATGTTAAAATAGCCATCTGATGTCTTCAGACTTGGACCAGACTTGCATCGTACATTTCAGCTGGGAACTGCTTGGGAGCTGCTTGGGTGGCTGAAATATTTAGGACCTGAACGCTTGAGCACCTCAACAGTCTGCTAACAGCGTGTAAAAATGTCTGAACCCCATTTGGACTTCATCAAAGGGTTTCCCTCGTAACGGACGTGAGGTATTCTGGGAAAGATGGCAATGCTCGTTTGGCTGGTGTTAAACAGAGAGACGGCAATTCTTTTAAAAATGCCAGATAAACACGAAGACCTTCAGTGGGCTTCTTGTACTTTTAGTGTTTCTTGGTGAGGAAGACATCAAACGGCAGGAATGAAGACAATAAACCAAATTTCCTTTTCACTCCATTGAAGTGAGCCTATTTTATTTGGATTCTGGTCAAGTAACAGCCTGAAGCTGTGAGAAAAAAAGCACATTAATGTTTCTCACACAGCTGCTGTTGCTTTCACATTGCTACATCCCCACAACAAAGTAAGTCTTTAATGAGTCAAACCCAGTCTGTGACCATTCCCTTCTCAGATGAATGCTTTATTTCCCACCTTCCTATGTCACTTTGCTGTGTTTCAGGTGGGACTGAAATCAAATAGAGATTCATGGGCTCTGCCAGGTATGCCACACTAGGACATGTGCACAAGGGTTAACTCGTTCAGTAGTCGATCATCACAGCAGTGTTGCGTTTCCGTTGTCCTCCCATGGAAGCCGAGGAGTAGTGAACTAAAGGCGACCGACCTGGCTGGTTTGGTGCTGAAGACATTTTGCCACTTTTTAAAAGAGACTTAAAAGATGCTCATTTCACATGAACCTGATAATGCTGTTGTGACTGCCATTGCGTGACTTTAACAACTCTCAACAGTCAAGTTACTGAAAATGCAGATATGAAAGTAAATAGGAAGGATTGTTTTCATTATTGATTAATTTGCTCATTAGTTTTGTTTATTAATCATTTGCTCTATAAAAAGGGGAAAAAATAGTTAAGAATGTGCATCACAATTTCCCAGAGCCCTATGTGACTTATCGCAATTGGGTTTTTTTTCTAACCAGCAGTTCAGAAGTCAAAGATATTCAGTTTGCTGCATTTTAAAACAAGGAATTTTCACATTTAAGAATCTATTTGGAATTGTTTGCAATTAATCAATTATCAAAATGGTTGCCGATTAATTTTCTGTTGATTTGTCACTCTGATTTATCTACATGTAAATTCAGTAAAAGTGGGTGCCTCGTGGCTGAAGGTTGAAGCACTGACCATTAACCACAAAATTCATGGTTTGAATCCAGCCAGGGGCAGCTATAGTATATTTATTGTAGAAATCTAGTAAAAATAATAATCATGTTTACGAGCATCGGTGTGGCATCCTGGTGGTTAAACTTCGAGAGACCCACATGCAAATGATATATTTTGAAAAACTGTTTTAAATTTCCAGTATCTAATAGTGTCACACACTTTAGTTGCACATACCGATATGAATAATTTATTAATTCACATTTTACAGCCCATTTTACTATCCATCTCCCTCCATTAATTAAAAAAGACCATTCAACTAAAATCCCTTCACCTGTGAAAAACATTAAGCATCCCACATTCATAGTCTCTTCAAACTATCCTCAGATTATGTCCAAGTGCGTGTTCAATATAATTTTTTAAAATCTTATGTACTATATTGGTCTTCCCTTGTTGGCAGAAGAGCACCAAATCACCAGTCCTCCATCTGCCCCACTGCTAAATACCCATTCAGTAGTTCATGTTGGCCAAATTTCTTCCCATCCAAGAACTGGACCAACTGAAATGTCCTTCTGCTCGGGAGCTTCCAGGGTCCTCCAATCACTGAGCTCAGTCTCCTGGGTTTCCCACATTACAAAAAGCAATCCTGTCCCTTTAAAGACTTCACCAGGCCGGGCTTTCAGTGAAAAGCATAGAGCAGGAGGAGAATGGTGCAGACGCCGATGACTGTGCCAAGGATGAGAGAGTCTCGTCTCTTCCGCAGGTTGATTCTCTGGATGAGATTGTTGATAGTTGGGAAACGGTCTAGGAAAGTCAGCAGTTAAGGAAGAAAAACAGCTCTATTTAAATTGTTCTTATTTCTTGGTAACAAAGAAGTCTCTCCCATTATAGAAAAGCAACATGTGAGCGTTGAGCAGTGATTTCATACCAGGAACCCTTCAGCTTCTATCAATTGTGTGCTTTATTCTACTTGGTTCCCCCACACACACGACCTCGCCCATATGCAGCATAAAGGATACTGGCCAGCGTGTTGACCCTGCTCTGTATAGATTTCAGCATGCCCCTTTGGGAGGTCACGTTCTCCTTGGTTGCCATTGCAATACTAAAGAGACAGAAAGAGAAATGAGTTGAGAAGTGACAATACACTGCATGTGGCTGCCGGTTTAAAAGGAGAAGAGGTGGCACCCTTTAAAGCGACAAACTGTCAAGGAGCACAACAGAACCACAGAAGAGAAAAAATCGCTCTGGAATGAGACAAAGTCATCGTATTATGTTCTCCTTCAGCTTTATCTGGGTGCCTACAGCATGTGTGCGAGTTGCCTAGGCTTGTAGAAGATATAGAAGTGCTGTGATATTGTAACTCCCTTGCTGTCAAACGTGGCCTTCAGCAACTTTCAATGCAGGAATGTGTTGCCGGGTAGTTGGCAGAAAAAGTTTGAGTTCTATGTTTGCCCTCTATGGCATCTGCTTACACATAATAATAAACTGTCAGCCATTTCACAGTGGGGCATAAGAGTAAAATCAATCAGCTTCCCAAAAACCAGTCGACAAAGCAAAAATACTACCGTAAATGTTAATATGCTCAAAAAACAGATCGTACATCAGTTTGTTTATTCACTGCAATTAGTAATAACTCTTGAACAGTAGGGTGACAACAAGTAAGCACTGGCCACAGGGGACAAACTCCTCCCCCATTCCTGGGTGACGGAGCCCCTAAGGAGGTAGGTCAAAACAAGGTAAATGAAATCTCAGCAGTTGTTTACTCTTTCAGCTGGCAAAGCTGATGAGCAGCAGGCCTAGAGAGAATGTGAGTGAACTTGAAAGCAGGTTTTAAACAAACAAAAGAAAACACGTGTGTAAGTTAGCACTGTATAAGTGTGTGGAGAGTGGGGTGTGTGGGTGAGGTCATGGCATCTCCTGACAGTCTGCAGTCTTGGCCTGGAGTGGTGTTTTGGGGATCATATTCTCCTCAGTCAGGAAGAAACACTTTGCTGACTCCAAGCCTTTATCACAATGTTCACCACCTCATGAGAATCAGAGCTATACAGTAAAGATTCCCTTCACACACACACACACACACACACACACACACACACTCTGCATGTGATCAGTTGGTGGTCGCTGTTTAAAGTGACCTGGGGGAATATTCATCATTTAGATATGACGAGATATGTAGTCTAATGTAAATCATAATCTGGAAATAACACACCTTGAATACCACATTAGTTGACACAGCAGCAGAGTTAATATACAGTATAAATAAAACTGGCATGTTAACCAACACTGAACTGAACTCCTTTTCCTACCACATCGCTCTGCTTCACTAATGCACCCATGAACAAGTACAATCTTGCCTCTTTGACTTAGAAACGTGCCACAGATTGTGCTTACGAGAAGCAAGGAACAGAAATTCTATTTATTTATAACATTTGTGCTTCTCAGGGCACTTTTCATAAAAAACAGGTCTAGACCATACTCTTTATAATATTAAATGCAAAGGGCAATGGGTCGAAGAGAACCAATGGAGAAAGATGAGAAAATAGACTGGAGGGTAAATTTTTCATTTGGGCAGGTCTGAAGGGAGAGAAAGGAGGAAGGAATAGTTAAAGATGGATGATACCTATAAATCAGTGAAGTTGGAGGAGTTATTCTGGATATGCAGGGTTGAGTAAGGGACAGTGCCGTTCATTTTATGCATAGACCATGTTATGTGACCAGCAGTTGGTGCACTGCCAAGGCTGACGCCAGGAATCCACTGACTCCGGGTACGGCACATAACGTCTGCACCCCGGTTTTGATGCATCCGTAGTCCGGCATCAAAGTCCATTGGAAGCGTCTCAGAAGAGTTTCAGCAGCAGAGCGTGCAGCCTGCCCCACGTTATTGACTTGTTATTAATTAGTCCTTTTTGTGCTTCTACTACCTTCTTCACTGCTCCCCGTTTTTGTTCCGTCAACTTCAGGCTGCATATCCCACAAGGAGCATTTCAGAGTCAGAGCGTTTGGCCTGCCTGATTTTGCTGACATGTTCAGAATTTGTTGATTTGGTAATCCATGTTTGCATCTTGTGCTTCTACTATGATTAAGTAGGCTACATAGTTAAATGATGTCTTTTTGTGTCTGTTTTAACACGTTTATTGTTGTTTTACGACCGGGAGTCTCCATAGGGTGTTTTATTTTGAAAATTGACCGGATTCTCTATGCCGTTCTGTGTCTGACTTCCTGCCTGGCACCGTAGCTGGAGTCAGTGGATTTTAGGGATTAATTATCAGTACAAACAATGAGCAACAGCATTGTAAAGTTCACTGATAAAGAGGCATAAGAGGCACAATATACATAAAAACTTTTGGGGAAGAAATTAATTATAACGGTGCATCCCACTTGCCTCAGAAGTTGGAGGTTGGAGCTGGGAATGACGTCACACCCAAGTTGACGGCGTTCCAGTAATACAACAGATTTAAGATTGATGCCTCTGGCCATTGTTAGCAAAACCAGTACATAACAAAGCATTACGCAGTATTTTGCACATACAAACACCGTAGCAACATGTCTGAAAATGTAAGTTGGACAGGACTGTATTTAATGAGACACAAAGACAGATGTGCAATAAACTGTAAATTACTCTATGTTGATTCCAGGAGCAGCCATCTTGGATTTTGAGGTCAGGGTTGGTGAGTTTCTCCCAACTTTCAGAGTCCTGTTGAAATTTCCTACTTGGAACTCGGAAATTCCGACTTTTAGGTTACTTAAAAGGTTTGATAGAATTAAGTGGATGCATTCAACAGTAAATTGATAAAGTTTTAGATTCTGGATTAATTTTACATGAATTAAGTGACTATGGTTAGCTGTTTGGCAACAATAAAAAATATTGAATTTGATACAGCGCGGATTGGGAAATCTAGCTGGCTAGATTGTCTTTTCCATAACATGGCTACAGTGGTATATTTATAATCATGGCCATGACATAACGTTATATTATGATTCAATTATCCAGGAATCACCTGTGTCTCTATGGTAGGAACATTAAAAGTGGAATAAGCGATTCTGGCAAAATTCAACAATGTGACAAATACCATGATGTAGAGTGAACAACGACACAGCAAGTAATGTAACTAACGTTAGCTACTTTGTGAGTTAGCATCCTGTCTATACAGTTGCTCCTGAAAAGCTAAAATGCTGGACGAGGCGGTCCCAGAGCCAGCATACCAGCTCCAGACAGCGATACTCACAACTGTCCTGCTACTATGGCTAGCATCACACCATGCCTTGGCAAACTGGAAAGTAAGCCGAATGTCTGAGGGCAAATCATTAAACGTTACCTGACACACAAATCATGGCTGGATAGTGTTGTGTAGCTCGGTCTGAGGGCTGAGTACAGACACTGGATTTTTTTGTTCAGCGTACACCCATAATGGGTAGCTAGCGAACCGTGAGGAGATATTCACTGAATTTGGAAAATAACCATGTATTGGATTAGAATTGCTTACCCCACCTTTAATGTTATTATTAATATAAATCTTTAAAAGGAAAAATGTAGAATGGGAAAAATATATTCAAAAAACTGCAGCTCTGCCCACTCTTTTACTTGAGATGTAAAAAGGGTACTGCTCACAGTTTTTTATTCGTCAGGAGGATGTGTCTTACAGAGACAAAAACAGTGTATTTCGATATTTCCTGGTCCAATGGTTTATTTTATTTTCTTATATTGCAGGTTTAAATTGGAGCTATGGAGAACTGTATTTATATTCCTCACTTACAGTTTGAATTTCTGCTATACAGAGGTCACTGAAGGATGAGGTACAATAAACAAGGATCATATTTCTACAGGTGTCCTGCCTAAGCTCAACAGGCCCGGTTAGGCTTGACATATCCAGACCACTTTGAGGTCTATTTCTGAACACATACTGAGGGTTTCAGTCAGGTTCAGCAGGTAAATAAGATAATGGAGAAGAGGGGGCGGGGGCTGTCACACATGCAAATATATGTGTTCCCATGCGTGCAAGACAGAAAGCAGGTCTTACCTTATTGTGTCATCCATCAGTCGATCCGAACTACAAACAATGAGTGGGAGAAGGGGGCGGGAAGAAGAGAAGAAAGACAGGTTAACTATTAACATGAGGCAGTGTGCCAGAAAATGGTTATAAACAACTGACTTGGGAGCAGTTATCAGAATTGGTTTCAGATTGGCAGTGATCAGTACTGAATTTTGATCACATTACTTGGTAAAACCTAGCTGGACAAAGAACTGAATTTAATTTCATGTTGTTTTGGACTGGATTTCTTTTTTCTTCTCTACTTATGAATCTTATCAGAAAATAGCGTTAATGTTACTTGAATCTTCCCACTTTTTTGTTCATGTTCCCTTTCTTGTGCTATTTGACACAGAACGGAAAGTCTAATTTGTAAAAATCTTTGAAGTAAACTTAAACAGTTCCAGATGTTACAAAATGCAGCTTTTTTTGGGATACATCTTTTTAGTTAGAACAGTCTCCTTTTAGCTTTTATCAGAATGCCATGTGAGTCAATGAGGAATGTATATCACTGGTCACAGATATACTTACTCTCCTAATCTGCAGTAAATATAGGAATCAGTACAAGGACAAATCATCTGGTCATTTAAAGACTTCCAACCCCCAATCCAGATCCAAATCCCAAGCAAAATTGCAAACAAACAACTTAAAGCTATTATAATTTTTATTTCTATTTAACCTCTGCATTAAATAGTGTAACTCTTAAATAACTTGTTTATTTCATGTTCTCCTCATGGATGACTCCCACATTGTCAGGGAGTCTGGACAACGTAGACCCAGAGAGGATTCCACCTCAGAGACCTTGGAGCTTCTGCATAGCTACATCAAAGAGGGAGTGTCATATCCTTGCTATTGTCCTACCAAGAATAGTGGGAGGCCCACACGCCCACACACACGACTTTTGGGAACATTACATCAACTTACATTCATTCCCTGGTGAATTACCCTAACCATAACCACTACTTGCCAATAGCTGCCGCCCCCCCCTCCCAACACAAACAAGTTTCTTTTGAGTGTGTGTGTGTGTGTAACACCAGATTTGTGTCTCAGGTTGCTCATAAACAATAATGCTCTCAGCAGTTTTATTCCCCTAATTGGAATCAATTTGGATAATGTTCAAGAGAGCTCAAGTAAACCAAACAAACAAAACTGCAGGGATTGTATTTCATAGCTCAACATCCATTCAACAACTCCACATTCTCATTGTCATGCTCAATATGTGGCTTCTGTTAGGCTATTAGCATGCTTATGTATCCAAAGTTAAAGGAAGAGAGCGGAACTTTATCCACACAAAGCCCTTACCAGACCTCAACCTTTACCTAACTTCTCTATATACTTTAACTTGACCATCTCAAGGCAAATACCCAAAGTATTTTTACTCTCACACCTAAACCCAACCTTCATTGCTTTATTTTTATTATTTTACCACTACCCCTTGTAACTCACTTTTTGGAAATCTGAAGGGAAATTATAAAGCCAAAAGTAAACTTAGAAACAATGACAAATGTTAACAAATGTTAAGTTTTCAAAGTAAAGCTAACACTATCCTATTAACAAAAACAATATTACATATTGGGTATTGAATACACAGCATCGTATGGTATTGTGTTGAAAAACAAGAGGTGCACACTAAGGTACAAGAAAAACAATTTGCCTTTTTCACAGCATATAGCAGATATTTATTGTTTAAGTGAGGGGGGAACACGCCATGAGGCTCTACATGTACACATGCATTGTTGGCAAGTATGTGTGCTGAGCTAACAATTTCTTGTTCCGCTAACAGATGATAGGCAGTCCACCACGTAGTTTCAAAGATCCATTTTATTAAAAATGAACTCAGGAGAGACCTAATAATAATATCAAAAGAAGTTGAAGGACTAAAACTAAAACGCTAAAAAGCAGCTTAAGCTTTGATTCAGGCAGACCAAAAATGATACTCAAGTATCATAACTACACATCCAAGTAATACTATCTAGAGGTTCTAACTAAATTTGATTGTGGGCCAAACAAGTGACCATGTCCAGGCCATGTACGTGGGCAAGTATTGACCAACTGATCTCTCAGAGGACAGACTATTTTCTTTGTTATACACTGATACAATAACTTTGAGTCCTGCTAATGACTTGTAAGTTTAGGCTCCTCTTCTCTGGTAGTGGGCCAATGAGGACTGACCTCAACCAATAAACGCGAATGAGTTTAATTGCTGTAATCCCAATCTTCTCATTTCAACCTCATTAGTCCAGTTTATGTGAAGTTTCACTTTTGAGAATGCCCCGTACATAGGGACACTGCAAGGGACACTGCACAGTCACGGTGTGGGCTGGGCAGCCTTCTGTTCTTTCTTTGCTCCTACCTCTGCACACAAGCACCAAACTGCTACTTGGCAATAGTTTGTAATATCATATCTGTTGTCTTTGTCACACTGAAACAGAATAATTTACAGGAATTAAATCATTTGGTGAAATGGGATGGTAACTGGCACAACATTTCAGAATGAAGGCTAGCAGACAAGTCTTGTATGGATTGTGGGAGCAGGTGGATTTAGCACAGAACACTGCAAGTAACAAAACCCTGACAGAGTCCGTATGTCTGAAACAGAAAGAAACAACTTAAGTACATGACCCCAGTCTTAAATGATGGAAAAGTCATGGTGGACAGACTAACATAGAAAACTATATACTATTTATGCTATATATACTATTAACTGTCGGTCTGCCAACAGTGTCCACCTTGTAAATCATGAGCTGACGAGCAAAGGAGAGTGTGTTTTTTTTGCTGAGGGGAGCCTTGAGTTTTTATATGCAGAGATGAGATGAGGCAAAAGATTTATGCTTTGTTCCCTCCATCATCAAGCTGCAGCTGTAGTGATGAGGTTGACTGTGCCATCACGTTTGTATATACGTGGCCTTCTGTGGTTTCATCTTTGAGTGGGTTCCTTCCATTTTCCCTGGTCAGTGGCGTTTTGCTGCAGTCATTAAATTGCTCATTAGCTCCAAGCTAATTGCCTTTCCCAGTGTGATGAATCAACCAAGCCTGCCCCCAAGCTTCCTCGCCCCCTTTTGCCATTCACATGCACATAGAAACATAAACACAGAAACAGACAGTCTGCTTACTGCTCACATGCATGTGTTAATTTGTTCGCATTCAGAACTGGCATACAGCAAGTGGCAGTGTTAGGTAGGGATCACTCAAAGCCTAAATTACTACAAAGATTAATAGATAATCAAAATGATAGCTGAATCCTTTCTTTTGACTCAATTATCTGAAGCGGCATTCTAACAGAAACTACTTTCCAGCAACTTTCTGAGAGTAATGCTCTGTCAGGATGGCTTTTAGAGCAATATGAGGCAACTAACAGAATCAGCCAGGTAAAATGAAACATTAATTACTTTGTAGAGGAAACAGTCTTGCAAATCTTGGCAACAGTTGCACAAAGCAAACTGCATCAGCAAAGAGGAAAAGTAGCTCAGAGCTGATTCAAAATCCACTGCTACATACTAAAATGCATTGTGAGATTCAAAGAGATGATCTTTTTAGTAACGCTTTGCGGCAAAGTAATAAACCAAGCATAAGAAGGAAGAGCTTGATCCTAGAGATTGATTAAAACAACAAAAAAAAAAACAAAGAGGAGGACTTTGGTAAATGCTTGGAATCTGTTTTTAAATCCAGACACACAACATTTTGAAAGGCGAAAGGCAGACATTGGTTATACAGGGCACTACAGTTCGACCAATTTAGTCACATATGCCCCTAAAAATTACAACCACCGCCGCTGTCTGTTCAAAACATAGTTGCTACTTGTTTAAAAAGCTGTTACAATATTTTGAAAAGCTTTGACAATATTTTGGGCCCATGCCGAGTGTCCAGATACCAGGGCCTTCACTTCCATAGTCCTTCAATGATTTCACATCTTAACTGAACACAAGGAGAAAGAAAATAGTCTGTTAATAAACTCTGGGTAACTTAAACGTTTTTCACTGTGCTCTTAAATTTTTTTGTGTGCTCCTAAATCTTTTCATTAAGGAACAGGCTAGTGTAGCGCCCTATTATATCACCTGCCATTTTGATCCTAATAACTGTGTACCAGTGTTGTTATTGTTTATGCAATGTTGATATTTGACAGATCAAAAAAGCTATGTGTTGTCAGTAACAGGAGCTGCAAACTATTCCTCCATTTTGTTAACAGTACAGTTTGGTGTGGCCTGGCTGGCCCTATGCCTAGTGACTTGACAGCAGAGAAAAAGCTGTGATGATGTAGAGCATTTTGCTGCCCAGGGATTTGAACACTGTTCCAATGGGAGGCCCCCTTGGGAAAATAAAGAACCAAGCACACAGAGCACAATCAGCGCACACCAGTCACACCAGTCAGCAGCAAAACACTTCAAAACCACTGGAATCACTTTAGAAAAAAATAGCAAAGTAGCAACAAATGGTAAAATCCTAATCTTGATAATGTCTTTACAGGAAATCGCACTTGTGATATGTCATACACTGTTCAAAGCACAGAAATACACTTATCTAAAATGCCTCAGACACTTTCACCTACTTTCACTAATCTCTGAACCTCTAAAGTTTCTGAACTGAATCTGAACAGTTTGGATCCCTCTGGTGAGCCAGAGAGAGAAGGTCTGCACATTACACTGAATCCTCAGAGCTCTCCTCTACTGATTACATTAACATATCAGGGAACTGGCAGTTCAGATGGACTTCTTAAGATGGGCAACAGGCCAGGAATACTAAAAGCAGGGTTCTTAAACTCAGGGACAAGAAGACAGATGAAGAAAGGAAAAGAGATATAGTTGGCCCCTGTGGCAGGTAAATAGATTGCTTAAAATAATGTGAAAAAAGTGGTACATGATGAAGTACCTACAAACATACCAATTCTTTTTGATTTTTAGAAATTGCTCCCTCTGCAGCTCTGCTTCACTATGTGACCCACACAAATGACACCGTTTTTACAATATATGACATTTTGTTTCAAATAAGACCTTGCACAAAATGAGGTGTCGTGGAAATTATATTCCTGGTGAGGGGTTGAGCAAAGAATTGAGTAACAACCAACCGTTGTCTATGAAGAATTTATTTAACAAAAGAGAATAAACACAGAGAAGTATAAAAAAACACATATACAGCTGGTCCAGAGACCTGCCGCCTAGGGCGGCTTCGGGCGTCTGGCCCCGAGCAAAGGGATGCATTATCATTTACACTGTCTAGGTTTCTATGTTTTGGGGAACAGAGGTCCTCTCTCAGCCTTGAATGAACATTCCATGAGAGGAGAGGAACAAGAGAGGAAAACACCAAAACAATCTCACAGCTCTGCCCTAAACCCTAGTAAATGTGGACAGACCAACATAAGGAGTATAGGAGAGGAAAGGTTAAGGATAAAAACACAATACATATCTTTAACATTAATAGTAACAATAATGATAATATTAAAAGATCATACATAAAAGATTAAATGTAAGAGGACACAATTTTCTGCCATAACATGAGGCAGACTGGAGAAGTTATACTGGCCATACGGGTTCTGGGAGTAAAAGTCTAAATTACTTATCCCATAAATATCTTCTGTTACTGGCTGGTTGAGCATTTCAGTCCTTTAGGTTGGGCAATAAACTGTTCTGGTTTAATCATAGTTACTGAACTGTAAAAGTTTGGTACATTGGGGGAAAAACATAAAAAAAAATAGGGTACTTACATCAAAGTCACAAGAAACTAGACTTTCAAGCAAACAGGGCCCAAGCACAATTCAGACATGTGGGCTCTTCAAACGGAGGATTTTTTTTTTGCTTGCGTGCTGGGATCCCAAAGAGGAGGGTTTTGTTGAGATTTGGACTCTTGTGGAGACTTGAACTGAGATAAAGAAGCATTTATTGGTGGTTGAACTGTGAGTGTTGTATTGACTAATGACTGTATGATACACTGTGGTAAGCTTAAAGTTCTGCCGTGCTTTGTGTTTCTTGAATTGTGGTACCTTTACCTGGTCGTTCGTGATTGTTAAGGGGTCATGTCCTGAAAGACATCGATGCTTTGTGCCTGCAAACAGGCATGTACTATTTTTTTATGAAAATATATCGAACACTGACATATAATTGACATTAAATTATGCCTAAAATAGCTGAATGTTATTTCTTCATTTTGCGTATAGATTTCAGATCACAAAAAAAAAAAAAAAAAGACTGCCTGGATGACTTTCAGATGTGTAACAAACAATCTGACGCGTCAGGTTAGAACATTACAGAAAGAACTTCCTGGTGAGTTAAGAACTAAGAATTTGCAGTTGGTGGCAAATAAATAAGAAAATGTGTGTCAGTGTGCGGTGTAAATTTGCCTCAACACCATTGCTGTGTCAAAAAAATATCCTGTTTGACAGGAAGTCCTCATCAGAGTGACCACTACCATTAGAGCTGTTCCAACTTGTAATGAACCTGCCCCTCCCTCCCTCTAGTTTATTCATGAACACTTTATGGCAGAGAGAGATGGAAAAACATATAAACATGGAAGGAGAAAAAGATAGATAATAAGAACTCACCAACAATGACAGAAATATTAACAGCACGTAAAGTAGCTCTAATAAGTAAACAGCTTACCAAACACTTGTGAAAATATTAAAGATCCATGCAGCCGTTCTGGCAAATTTTGCTAACAAATTTTTGCTAAGTATTATTAGCATTGTTTATTGTCCTAAACTAGATAATCAAAAGTTTTTCAGTCAGGGAACTCAGATACAATAAGATCAGCTCCTGTATCATTTCCCTTGCTGTAGTTTCTGTGCAGTTGAAAAAGTTGAACCATCATAAACTCTGAATGCTGTCGCCAACGTCTGCAATGTTCACACTGTAAACAATAGATGCGGCAGCAGCTCATTGTCTGAAAGCATCTCAAGTGTCACTCTTATTTACCATCGTCTCCTGGAACAACAGCATTTTAAACCTAATGTGTAGGCAGGTCTGACTAATGTGGATATATACAAGGTTAATAACTAGCAGCAAAAACTATAGAGTAGGTAACCTCAAAATGAATCGAGGCACGTTACGTCTGTCTCATTAGGTTTTGTTAATTAATTAATGCAGGCTGCCAAGCACTCCACCCAACGCAGTAATTTGTAGATTAACTGGAAGGGACTTCTTTTTGTGTGTGTTTTTCCATTGGGAAGTGATTAGTCTTGATCAGTTTGGCAATGCTGGTACTCTCACTTGCCAATACACACACACACATACACACACACACACACACACACACACACACTCTAACATCTGCCTTAAAACCACTGTAGAAACAGAACATTTTAATCCTCATATAGGCTCACGTGCCTAAAGATAAAAAGCCAATGGCACAAAAAAAAGGCTTTATGACAAGCTGAGCAGCAAAATGACAACTCCACAAACATGGTGGGATTATTAAATTAAATAAACGTGACAGAAATCTTTCTAGAATTGAAGTTCACATAACAGACACCTTATTGTTCATAAAACTGCTTTTGAAAAGAGAGCATCACAGACTGTGTCTGGAAGCATTTTAACTCAGATCTCTCCTCTTATCGAGTATCCCTGCTCTGCTTTCAGACCACTTCTTTGGCCTCTAACACATTTTAGTTGTTTTCTCTAAAGGCCCTCTTTCCTGTTTTATGGCTCTAATAGGATCAATCAAGCGTAACTCGATCCTCATCTCCAATCTCCTCTTTCCACTCCCATCTCTGTCAACAGTCTGGGGAAGCCCTACAATATGGGTTGTGGTTAAATAAGATAATTTCATTATCGATATCTTGATCAATTGCGCTGGATTGGCACAACAGCTCGACTGTTGGGAATACACAAGTCTGAGGAGGTTCAGCACAATGTGTCACTAGCAAATCCCATTCCATTTCTCTTCATTCTTAATGATTATTTTATCATCAGTATTCAGTCTGGCTATTTGGAGCGCAGTCTGAATAAATGAGGAAAGGGAGTGTCTTATCTTGAAAAAACACATTATCTACAGAAAAAAAAAAATCTTCCTGTCCTCACTCATAGCCAGAATAGAAGGCATAGCAGATACAAGTAACGTTATGACTGATTTTTTTAAGGCCACTCCCTTAGTGACTGGACAGGGAGAATGATTATTTCTCTGCTTTAGTACTTGAATCCATTAAAGCAATCACTTGGGTCTTTCCTAGTCCTGTCATAGTGAGTATCACAATGCAATTTGACACAATGTTGGATTTGCAAAGCTACTGCAATCAAACTTCATTAGTAAATTCACTTGAGAAGTCTAGTAGTAGCCTTCTGCAGCTACATCACTCTCTTGGTAAACCTTTTGCTGAACCTTTGTTTGTACTGTGTGGAACGCACTGGAATAATTTTATTTGATGTAACATAAAGCAAGGCACCACTTTGACTGACAGAATGAATTGGAGCAGAAAGCCAAACAAGGTACCTCTCCTGTACGCCATTAGGGATACGCATTATGGTGATAATTATCAATATCGTATTATATGAAATTTCATATTGTGATAACATTTTTGGCCAGATCGACCAGCCCTAATGCAGATCAGTAATTTCTTTGCACATACAGTGCTAGAAAGTTGGCAAAAGAATTTCTGGAACAACGCAAAATCACATTAGTTTTCACAAAAACTCTTTGAATTTTCAAAAAAACGGTTTGCTATTTTATTGTATTAGCATTGTATTTTAAAGTTGTTTGTGTTGTTGAGTTTATGAACTGTATACGAGTCACTCTATTAACCCATTTACATTATTGGAGAAAAACATTAGCCATGCCATGTCAGAGCAGGTGAAGCTTTGTTTTGAAATGATTTAAGAGGTCTTTGATGGGGAGTAATTGAGGAATTATTCCTTTGAGAGGTTGAAACAGGAAACACACATTTAGCTGAAGAGAGAATCAATCAGAATGATGCAAATAATCAGATGGGATCCTCAAGTCTGGGCAATGTTAAAAGCTCTTCTGTGGTTTATTTATGTTTTGTTTGAGTGTATACCTGTGTGTGCCCTGCTGACTTCCAATTTTACTTTCCACACAGGGTACCTCTCACACTTCTTACACACAGATACACACATACAGATTTCACAAACTTTATAACCTCATGCTGTTCCGCAGTGCTTGAAAGTCAGCCAAACCATAGTAGGACGCTAATGAAGCTGCTGGCAGATCAAGGTTTGACCTACTGTGTCTATATGAAAAGTCTGCCTAACCTTTTACAGCTTTAAGATGCAAAGTTATGCAATAGTGCAATAATGTGTAATGAATTTGCTTAGCTAAATCTGAACCTGTCACTGCTGACATTTTCTTTAACATTATTAAAAGCACAAAAGGTTTTTTGTCTCAACTAGCCAGGAAAGCACTCATATCCAATCTATGTTTTTCTCTATCCTAAACTCCAGATGAATCAATGCATCATCATGAAAAAGTGGCCTCCCATCTGATTGAGAGTAAAAGCATATAAAGTGCCAAGGGGTGCCAGGTGTTAACAAGCAAACATCAGTAACTGGTGTTATTCCAAATAGCTGTGCTGCACCATCAAGATGAGTTATTCCAGCTTTGATTTCAGGAAAGGATCTACAGCTCTGGAAAAATGGCAGCTTTATTTTACTTTGAGCTACTAGGATTGATACACCAAATCAATCTATTAAATATCCTTAAAAACTCTGCTGAGTGTGAATAAAAAATTTGGATTTTTTATTACATCATATTCTGCAAAGAAAGGTGATGGGAACTTACTTTCTCAGGTGCTCGTGCTCCTTTAGAAACAGCTCTGTTCTTCTGTTGTTGACCCCGGAGCCACTCTTGTATGTCCTGAAAAATGCATGCAGATACACTGGTCACATTGAATACAGTCAGGAATTAAAAATTTAACTAACAATATTTGCTATTTGTGTAATGTGACATAACACTCGAAAGCAGAGAGAGATTTGGCAATATTGTTGTTACACATTAATGCCAATAAAGCAAATTTGAATTGAACTGAGAGAATATTCTACATTCATGCAATGACAAAAACATGAAGACCCAGACCTCACAACCATACCTAGGATACCATGAAATAAATTCTTAGGCTCCTGACACACCAAGCTGACAGTTGACAGTCAACAGCCTTGAGCCTGAGCATCGGCTGTTGCTGTTGCAGTATGTATGGCACTAATGATTCTCTTCTGTTCATATCAGAAAATCTTGGAATCAGTCGGTCAGAGAAAGACCTATCTGAATGGCTGCCCATCTAGTCAAGTTTTTCCATCATCTCCGACACCGGTTATTTTCCTCATCAACAGTCAAAAGATCACAGTGCGATCATGTTTTGCAAAGTGAGGTGTCTGTCTTTGTCTGCACTGGCTCTTTGAAGCCACCCAGTCTATGGTCAGGACCCCTACAAGAGACATTTGGAGGTATATTGGATGTGAGGGCCCTTACATGTCCATCCCTCTGAACATTAGACACCTATTGGCTTGGTAAAAGGCATTGTGGTGGAGTTTTGCATCTAACTAGCTCACTGCGGCTACTTCTTCTTTTATTATTCTTTGCAATTTAATCTGATCCACTGACAAAAAGCACTGGCGTAACTGCTGTGTAGCCCAATTTTTATCAAATGGCAGTCGGCGCCAATACCACCGCATTCCCTGTACCTGTTTACAGTAAAAGCCTTCTTGTGGTTCACCAAGAGAAAGCTTTTAATGTGAAGCCAGCAGCAGCAGGAAATATTCAGTTTGCATTAGCAGTAACTTAACACAGCAAATATAGCCCCATTATGGTTGCAGTAGAGCAGATCAGAAAAATACTGTTATTGGTTGAAAGCAAGAACAGGATGATATAGTAGGAGTGGAACAAACCTCTATAATAAATATAATAAGGTTATTATATTTATAGCTTCTACTAGAGCTGTACTGAATGTCATTTTTTTCTTTCATTCAGGTTTCTGAATGAAGCTTTGAATGTCTGTTGTCATATTTTATAACGTCATCACCCAAAAAAAAAAATCCTAATGCAAAATCCTCAAGATTACAGGCAGAATGAGTAAGATTTACTGCTTTGTTTGTAAACATACGATTCAAAGTTGGCTCCAGACAGGGACAGACAGAAAGAAAAAGAGAGACGGACAGAGAGAGAGAAGCTGCTCAGTATTTGAATGTCAAATTTATGAATGCAGCTTCAAACTATTTGGTGCAGCCCTAATTTCTACCATACTGACAGCTGAACAAGGCAAAAAATGTTCAGCATGTGCTATGAAGCAGGAATGGAAAGGCCTAAAATCTTAGGCAGTGGGAAAGTGCCAAAAGGGTTTTGGAGTCGAGAACGGTAAATAAACTATTCACTATGGCTTACAATTCTTATATTACTCTATGTATAATCTAGGTAAGACACCGCTCATTCCGTGTAGCAGAAATTGAGCAGTGTCCTCTATTACCGAGTTATCTGGTAGCATAGCAGTCAAAGTTAATGGATGGGCTTTTATACCGCTCACAGAGCAAACACATCGCACCCATTCTCTTTTGCTTGATGCAACTCCATCAGCATCCCTGAACAGCTGACTCCCAGTGCTCTTGTGGGTTTCTGGTCATTTAACACAGCCCCACCCTCCCGTTGGCCGAGGAGATAAAGAGCAGGGGAGCAGTGGGAAGTGAGAAACAAAGGAGTATGCGCACACACATACCATAAAAATCCAACCCCACCCAGCTAACTGTAAGCGGTCCATGGACAAATGTGCCTACTCCATCCCCAGTGCACCATCCACAGCCGTTGAATGGAAATACTATAGTCGGTGCACACACAGCACACTCCACAGTGGCTGCCTTGAGCCAAAGCTGGCTGCCCCACCAGCAGAGCTGATGCCTTTGCGGGGCTAGAATTGCCCGTACTGACAGCCAGCTTCTCACTCCAGCAAGGCTTTTTAAAAGGGCACCAATGTAAATCACAGGCAAGCTGTCATTTTTGTTGCTGACATTTAGAATAAAAGCAGGAGCAGAGGGAGCGTCTGAGCTCTGCTGCATTCTACGGTTATGAATGATGCAGCTCTGTGTGAGACTGTGCATGTTTTGCTAACAGGGTCTTCATTGTCAGTGTTTCATAAAATGTCACATTGCGCATATAGGTGCTTGCATAAATGAGACACTGTGCACTATTTCTTTTAATCAGAATGGATTTTTTGGTAAACAACACTCATACACATAAAAATGTACAGCAGCCAGCGTCCTGGACAGGTTTACGCCATACTGTACCCAAGATACTCTACTGCCCTCTACCTGACAAAAGGGACATAAGGCTCAGCTGCAGCAGAAACATTCATCACTATCAATGGCATGAAAGCCTAAAAATGAAACTGACCTAAACATTTTGCTTTTTAAACACAACTTAAATCAGCAATATATTACATTAAAAAAATTTAAAGCTGTGAATAATATCCCTTTTATTATTAAGCTGTTTTTATGACGCCAGTTCTAAACTAAGCTGCTCTAGCCAAGAACAAACCAATCTGACTTTAGTTTGATGAAATCACAAAGCCAAATTTTGGGCCCCTGCTTCTGAGATTTGGGGAAAATATTTTTGTAGTTTTTACTTTCTTTTCAGTTTTTATTTTACTATTACTTGACAACACTCCTGAGTAAACTTGGCTAAAACTGCAATCATTGATTTTTCTCTGTATGCTCCTCTAAGAAGATCAGAAGAATGTGTTAAATGTTAAAATGTTAAATGAAAAATGTGTTAGTGATACAGAGTCATCTCACAGTTTTGTTATTCCTCAAAACCCACATTACAGTCGAGGCAGTTCAACAGATCATATCTTGAAAAATAAGAAGCTATCCTTTTATATTTCGTGCAAGTCCTACCTTATCACTTGCCCCACCAGTAAAGGTCAATGAGGGAGGTTAGGGGAATATTGCTCTTTAAAAGAAATTGTCTCATGTAAAGCATGACTCCACATCTCCCTGCATTTTGCCATAACAGTAGCAGTAGTAATTTCCCTACCTGTAAACTCAGATGCTTCCCTCATTAGCATCCCCTGGGCCCATTAGTCATCGTTAGGCTGAGCACTGGGTCAACATCACTAGCTCATTTCTATGCATTAGATTCATCAGCACGGAGTCTATTAGTAGGGTCAGAGGCACTCCTTAGCAATGTGATTTAATGAGAAGATTGAGTGAACTGTTGCATGTAGTGTTGACCCCATGGGATGTTACCAATAACTACTAGTAGAAATATAATTAAAATGTGATTTCTTGTGTGCAGCGTGAGTACAAATTACCATTAGACAATAATGGCTTGGTGGTGCAAAGAAACAAGTCGTTTTAAAATAGGTTCACTTAAAGAAAACAATTACTTGTGGTGGAAGAAATAATGCACAACCACAACAAAGTATACTTTGTCCATTAATGGTTTTCTCAACTGAGTCTTCTAGGAATGCACACCGATATAACAGCGTAGGGTTGTGCGATATGTTTTGCCTATGATAATATCTTAATTGACATTTTAACAATGTGTAAGCAGACATTATCGAGTAGCCTAGGTCTACCTAAACACCTTGTCCGTGCACTCACTGCATCATGCATACACGTGTGCTAAAGTTAAACAAGCAGAAAAATGCATGTGAAGTTAAACAGGAGTGAACAAACAGCGGCAGGAGATAAAACACTGACACCACCAGCCTCGCATTCTACGTCATTAGATTAAATCGCTAGATGTGGATCAACCTCACTCGCATGGAGGTAGCTTGAATTTGAAAAAACGGATGCTCAAAAGATGCCAATCTGCAAACAATGTGTTTTTTATATTGTTTTTACTTAAATGCTTTAGTTTAAAGGAAATAAGGCCTGTTTCCATTAATGTCATTAGTAAGCAACAATTAATATCGTATTGACTAGAGCGAGCTAGTCCATTATTAGACTTTTTGTCTAATAATGGTCTTTTTGAAGGATGCCAAATATCGTCTACTAAACGTTATTGATAAAATCCCAGAAAATATCAGAATATTGAGATATAACATTTATATTACAATATCGCACACCCCTACAACAACAGCATCATTCCTTAACTTTGATGTTAATGGGACTTTTCTTAAAATAAGAAGCAGTAGCGATGATGACAATAATACCAATAATATTTTAGAATGCTGACAACGTGAGCAAAGCAATCCAAGATCAGTGCATGACCCTGTATATGTATGTATTATTTGGCAACACTGTTTAATAGAGTATTTCAATACAGGTGACATGAAAAGCTGCACAATGTTAGCTCATTGTGTAGCTTTATAGTCTGTTATTTTAATAAAGTAAATCACACTGCTGTAGACTGTGAGCTGTACAGTTTTTCCACATTTGTGTGATGAGTACATTTGCTAATAATCAGTCTCTTGCATTAAGTACCAAGGAAGTAAATCTGCCTTCTCTATTGAAAAACGTGATAGCAGCCTGTACAAGTGTTAAAAAATGTTATATAGCCCCCAAGTTAATCCATGATTATACTGTTATAACATTTTACCAATGAGAATTAAAGGACTTTAATTATATAGTAATATGAGGAGTGACAACCCGTCATAACTAGATGTGTGAAAACTACTTTTAATATATAAATAAGTACCCGGAAAAGACATTTTAATGTTGTATTTTAAGAACTTAAAGAGATGGTATTATGCTCATTTTCAAAATCATATTTGGGGGTTGTACCAGAACAGGTTTACATGGTTTCATTTTCAACAACATTGCATCAGCTCCTCTTTTCACCCTGTGTGTTGAACGCTTCGTTTTAGCTATGGAGTGAAACATCTTGCATCTATATGATCTTTGTTGGGAGTTGCACATGCGCAGTTCCTAGTTAAGGGCTACTAGCCAATCAGAAGCAGAGTAGGGCGGATTGTGAGAAGCCCGTAAACACGGCTTTGGTTCAGCTGTATATCCCCTTACCAGCTTAGCATCATGGACAGGAGCAAGAGTTTGAGAGTGGCGAGTTATTAATCTGTAACAAAAGTTAAAGTTTTAACTGAGCTCTGTCTCTACATCACAGTAACAACTTTATGTCCACTGACTGCCTGGAGAGTACTTAATGTTTGGAAAGGAGAGGAGAGGTAGGAGGCAGACGGCTTGTCACTGTGTGCTGGAGTTCTGTGTCTTTTTGAGGGCTTGTCGGACTAGTCGCTTGGCGAGCATTATGACGCGCATTTTGATGTGATGTCATAGAGAATAAAAGGAAAAGGCTGGATTACAAACAAGCTGTTTTCAGGCAGTTCAGAGCAGTGTTTTCTGTGGGAGAAGGGAACTCTCTTTGCGGAGGACTTTGGCCTTTTTCACTTTGCAAACCTATTACATGCACAGAAGATATATAACTCAATAAAGGAGAGGGAAACAGCTAAAAAACATAATATAACCTATTTAATGAGAAAGAGTTATGATATAAAGGGTCTGTGAGGCCGATTGTATGAGGAAACTACAGTCCATCTGCATACTAGTAGGATGGAGGGGAATCAATAGGAATCCTGCAGTGCTCACCATATGCCCACTGCTGCTTACAGATCAATAAGCCATTACAAAAAAAAAACAAACAAAAAAAAACACAAGAGTCATGGTCTAGGGGAGCCTCCATCTCTTGATTTCAATACACTCACTCACGACTGAGCCAATCTGAGTAGAGGACAGACTTTCTCAATACTCAAGGCCAAAGAGGCCATGAATCTTCTTAGGTTTTAATGGCCAACATTTTTCAAGAGCTTGCCAAGTGGAAGTCAAGGTTCAACTATCCCCCTAAGGTATAAAGTCTACAGTGCAGAAGCACTGTGAATAATACTTGGCAGGTTTTATTCCCCCACAGCCACTAAGATCAAACACAAGCTATTTGTTTTGTGTGCAGGTTCATGTAGTTTCATGTGAATGAGACAATTAGATAAGGTTGCTCAGACCACCCACTTCCTGTACCTTCACTCGTCAATACATTTAATGTGTCAATAATAAAGTACAGAAATTAACTAAGTAGCTGCATGGTCAAATTAACCATGAGGTGGTGTGACTGAGTACTCACTCAATGTCTTTCCTGACAGACCCAAGCAGATCTTCCCTTTCCCGGATGACCAAGAAGTTGCCTTTGGTTTTGTGGAATTCATGTGTGTAATCCTGTGTAGAAAACAAATAAAAATGAGGAAAAAATGGAAACATGTGTGCTTCATAAAATGGTTGTGATCTGCGGTGAGTTGAGTAAAGTTGAGTACTTTTACCAAACAGGTGTTTCACAGAAAACAAAAAAATGCAGTAAACAAAATACATTAAAAAAAGTAAACCTGTAGGATGTCTCTGTGTCTCTGGAGTGTGTGCATGAGCGCAGCATTGAGAGAAGAGGTGCCTGGGGTGTTGGTGTACTCCGCCATCTTGTCATTCACAGCAGTCAGCTGACAGAGATGGAAAATGAATGGATGGAAAACAGGAGATCAGCAGATAAGGTAATGACCGATCCCAGTGTCTTTATATCACAGGGATGTCTTTCATTGCAATTGGCCATATAACACAACATATTACACACAGACACATTAATTGTGGTCAGAACTGCACATTACTACTATGACAATGGGTCTAATGGAAATCAGCCAGCCAGCCTCCTGCTTGTTCTTTGATGAAAGACAAGAGCCTTTGCAAAAATCAAGAGCTTTTCTAATTACTGTCTGTTTGCTGTCCTGTCACAGGCCGTTGCCCCATGAGAATTTACTTACTTTGGCCAGCAGTTGTTCAATCTCCACTGACATGGTTTCAAACATCCTATCCTGGGTTGAGTTGTTTAGCAGTGGGGTGGTGTCTGACCTTAAGGAGGAAAAACAAGAATGGAGAACAAATAAAAAGTCAACTTAAAGCTGTCTGTTTGTACAAAGTTTTTCAAAATGTTGCAGGAGAAAATATTTTTCAGTTTTCTCATGTCTATATATTGCAGAAATATTCTGGCACTGATTGGAGTTATTTAGCTGATTAAATGATACATTAATGGAATTAAAGCGAAGGGACTAAAAGGTCAGAGATATAACAGGGAGAGAGGCCATGAAGAGCTTTAAAATCAACAGAACTTTAAAGTCTAATCTAAAACATACTTGGAGCCAGTGTAATACAGCTAAAACAGGAGTGAAGCTAAAACAGGGGTAATACTCTTCATTTAAAATGTTGTATCAACTCCATTCACACAGCCACCGAAGTAGGCATGACCTGAAATATTCACCTGGGAAAAATACACTAATCTCCACATACACCGATCTTAATAGTGATCAATATTTTTTATGTTAAATTACACAGGTAGTGTTAGGGTAGGGTTTCTCAGCTGGTGTGAGGATGTGTCAACAGAAATGTACACAGGTTGTTGCTAACAAAAAAGCATTTATATATTGAAGGCTGTTTCTAGTCAAATTATTTTCAAGAATCAGAACGTGTAAGATACAGCTCACAAGTAGTGGCTCAATTACCAAAAGAAACAAAGGTGCACTGATTGGGGAAGTTCTCCTTCCTTGCTTCCCTCCAAGGATATTATAGCTAGTGAACAACATGCTTGGAGTTGGTATCCATTCAATGTATTGTTCATAGACACGTCCTTCCTTCAGCCAACACTCCTGTGCGGGAACAAGTTTGTTGCTACATATCCCGACCCTCTGACCACTACAACTTAAGCCACATTTGTACGAGACTAGGGCTGTTAGTGTTAGCTGTAGTGTTCAAAACATAGTCAAACTAGCCACAAGCACCGAGAGAAATGCCGGTGCTCCGGTCACTCTGTGACAGAGACAGATATGCATCGTCGACAGCTAAAGCCTTTTTCTTATACAAAGATCAAATAAATAAAAACAACACACAGAAATGAAACAGCTGTAACTAGATTTAATATTCAACTAGTGGTAAAATAGTATACTATTATATTAAATTATAATGAATATAGTAATTAATATATGATTGTTATAGGCTACTAAAAGTATATTTTTAACTGAACATTATACTCTTTATTTAATGTTATAATATTATACTAATACACTCATGTATAATACCTCCTCCTCCAGATTGTGGATGGAATCTCTTTAGTGGACAGATGTAGATTTAGCCATTGTGCCAATATTTGCTCCTTCTAACCACATCATCTGTAGAGCAACACACACCCTTGTTCTGTTTTATATCTGTTGTACTAGTTATTGTTATAAATATTGTTTCTGTGTTCAAGTTAAGAAATACACATTTCAAAATGTCAGGATTTATGCATTTAGATTCATAGTACTATTTGTTCCATTATAATCGAATCACAATCGCAATATTATTTAAAATAATCGCAATATGACTTTTTCTCCAAATTGTGCAGCGCTACATGAGATTGTTATGTTTTTTTTATTATTCTCTCTATATCAAGGACTTGCCCTATGTAGATAATTCCACTCATATTGGTTAGGTATTAGGCACGCATCCCTCCACTAACACAAACGAGAAGGACTTTGGTTTACTGGGGCTGTAACTAATTTTTTTCATTATCAATTAATCTGACAAGAATTTTCTTCATTCAAAATCGGTCTTTAAAATGTCGATAAATTAATTAAAAAATTATTATTATTGTTGCCCCTAGTACAAGATGGCATCTGACCATCAATCCAAAACTCTGATATTCAGTTTAATGTTACTATCATTTGACAAAGAAAAGCATCAAATCCTTTCAGAAGGGGAAATCTAAAAAGTTTTGGCATTACTGCTTAAAAACTGACTGAAATGATTAATCGACCATCAAGTTATTGATTAATTTTCTGTTGCTCAACTTGTTGTTTCAGCTCTAACATGATTATTTTTACCAGCCTATTAATCTCAGTCAGGTCAGATGTGTTCTGTAAATTGTGTAGTTAATTGTGTAGTCTAAAATATCACATGGCCATTATGATTGAGAATCTATATAGACTTTTGCTTTAGTCGGTTAACTCTGCAGGTGTGACAGAAAACTTGATCTTACGAGTCTCCCCGTCGCCCATCCCTGGAGCTGCTGTAGCTGGTGCACAGTTTACTGAAGGAGACCAACTTCAGGTCCAGTTCATTCTCCAACTGTCTTGCCTGCTTTCGCAGATCTGTAACACGGGCGCACACACACACATTTTAACATTTCAACAGCTCATTTTAGTTTGCAAACAAAGCCAAAGCGATGGCAACATTATTCCAGCAACATTTAACGTTATTATTATTAACTTGCACAATTGGTGTAACGTTAAGCTGAGTGAGCCAACTAACTTCAACATCATTCGAGGGAAAAATTAAATATAAACGGTTTCTACTACTTAACATCTTATGAGTGTACCAGCTGGTGCACTGTGTCTAGTGAATAAACAGTTTAGGGCGCCGACACTGATTTAACAGCTTAATTTAACCGGCGATGTGTTAGTTAGCTTGTTGAGAGCTAGCTAGTCGTTCCAGAGACACGTAGGCTGTGTTTAAACCATGGTTGAATGAGCCAAACGCAGCGGCAGATTATTTGTTGACATTATGAATACTGTACTAGATGTGCTGCGAACATTGCTTACTGTAAATTCAGTTATTTTTTGCTACCTTACCTTCCCAGTAGTTGCTGCCTCCTATGCCTGCCATCTTTGTTGTTCTGCGACGTCACCAAGTTCCGGGGGAGTGTCACGTGTCAGAAGAAGACGTCACACCGTAAAGTTTTTCTCGCCCTCGGCTGAGACTCTCAGGCAGCACCGCACTACCAGACGTGTGCTAGCCCCAGCGATATAAACAGCGCCACCTAGAGGCCATTGGGGCCCTCAAAATAATCTTGAACTTGCATGTATGCATAACGTCTCTGATACAATACATTATGCATTCCAGTGGTTCTCCAAGGGGCTCCCCAGCAAAAAGGGGAATCATTTATAATTCTATCCGCAAGTAACACAATGACAGAATAGATGGGCAACCCTGGGACATAAACTTATCAAAAAGGGGTCTGTCGTGTAATTTGTCAGTTTAGGGGTCCTTGACATAAAAAAGTATCAGAACCACTGATGTATTTGGTCTAGCTGTGTGGTTTTTGATGTTCCTCTTTTGTTGTATGCACTGTAAAACTACTCACTATTATGTATCCAGTCGGTCCAATAAACAACATTACCATGGCATTCATGAATGTTAACAGGGTGTTAAAGTGTTTCATGGTGTTATACAGTTTGTCAATTTTGATTTACTTGTGCAAATTTAATTTTATACCTTCATTTCATGGGCTCTTTCTCTTCCATTGCTAAATTATTAACAATATCAATAACTCATTGTATCACTCTGACTGTGGTAAATTAACTTCTTTTCAACCATCATAAGACAAAAGGCTTTGTGACGCCTCTCTTTCACCCACACATACAAACTCACACACACCCTGTCCATAAAGGACAGTTTGGGGTTTAGTGTCTTCCTCAGGGACATTTAGACATGTGGAAAGGAAGAGCCAGGGACTGAACCTCCACCTCTGCAATTAATTGACGACCTGTTTGACTTTTTGAGCCACTGCTGCCCCCAATCTCCCCAATGCCCCAGTTATTAAAAATAATAAGTAGCGGACAAATAAGTTGTTAATTCAATAAGCAACAGGCAGGGTATTTAAGAGGATTTTCTGACTACAAACCCACATCAGGTAGAAAGATATTCAGAAACACATAAACATGCACTGTGCAAAACATATTGGAAAGATCTCTTCATCATCTACTTTATGTCAACTGTTATTGCGATAGCAATGGAAAATGGGGGAAAAAAGGCAACATTGCAGACTGAAAATCCTTTGGTGTCAAAACTGTCACCGCAACTCTGAGGCTCCAGCTTTAGGCCACTACATATTTGGTGTTTATCTGATGGCCAACATTCCTGGAGCCTCAAACATAACACACACAAGAAAATGGGGTTAAGGGCACCATTTCCTTCAGCTGATTAAGGCTACATCCACACTACTAAGTTTTTAAATTAGACATTTTAGTTAAGTCTTTAATGATAATTACAGAATTGTTAATTGTATGAATACTGTTCCAGGGTTTACATGTTTCCTTTCCTTCGTTACTGCTAAACAATCTGTTTAAAAACAGTCCCAAATAGCAGTACCATACATGCAACACAAAAGCAAGGGAGACGTTGTGAGAGGTTTTATTTCACCATGTTTCATGAGTTTTTGTGCATGTAACACAGAGGTTTTTGTGAAATGCTTTGTTGAGCATATTCATAGTTAACATGAATCACACTTATTTTCCCATTCAGAAGTGGCAAACATTATTTACAGTTGATTCCAGTTAGATATAAAATCTTCTCACCAACACTGTGTGACCTGACACACGCTCAACTTTCAAAATTCATACACACGCACTCACAGATCCAGTATAAGAAAGAAAAAAAATAATGTACAAATCTGTCTCGCTACACAGATATCAGGTTTCACCTTACTGCTGACAGCTGCATTTGTTTAAAGGAGAAGGAAATAATCTCTTCTTGAAGGACCTGGAAGGCAGATTCTTTAGTGAACAGGTGTGTATATGTAAGTGATGACTAATGATCTAGTGCACCAATTCTTGGTTAAACACAGCTCTAAGATGTAAAGAAAACCACACTTTTGGTTTTTGGCAGTTCATCTGATTTGCACAACACAGAGGTCTCGCTTTTTCGTCTCCTATAAACTCGCCATGTCTGCATTCCAACCTGCCTTGATTTGTCATTATACCCCAACTCAAATTTTGTCATCCAATCACTAATGAGCTTCTGTAACACACAAGAGAATTACTTATAATTTCACACAAGAAAACATTGTTCTTTAAAGCCACTTAGGCAATCTGTCAGTAGCCTTGTTTTCATTGTCCCTGACATGTGGCTGAAGGACGAGTATCTGCATACTGCAGCAAGCAAGTTCAATTTCCATGGTCTAGCTTTTTCACAGCCATTCGAGCCATAACCTCACAGTCGAATGGATTATCGTCTATATGCCCCTTGTTTTACAATAAGTGTGGGAAATATGCATTTCTTTGCACTGGACCTTTAAATCGTGTAGAATGGGTGGCTCTGACAGTGATCGTTAATGGACGGACAAACCTGGTATGACTTTTGCACTCAAAAGTATTGTTTAGTCAGGGGAATAAACACCAACATATTCAAATGAAATTAATCCAAAAAACAGGGTGCAGACTCAATATGACAAAACAAAAGTCAGCAGTGACTTTCCATGTACAGACAGTTGGGAATTGTCCCATCACAAACTTCTAGTTAAAACAAAAAGGAAAAAACCACAAATACATTCTTTTTTATTATTACTGACTTAGAGATTCAAAGTTTTGTTTCCCTGGCCAATGATATGGGACAACGTTTGCTTTCCATTTAGTGCAAGTGACCTCCATGCATACATTAGAGCACCCTGCACTTACTAAGAAGGGTTTCATTCAAGCATTTCATTGGTAACAGATTCTCCCTGATGCTTTAAAGCTTTTGAGAAGCTCGCTCCCATTATGATTTGGGCCACAACATTGACTCCCTGGAAAAATACAAAACTACTGAACCCAGCCTAGTCATCTGCGTGCAACATCGAAATTCAGCAGTCTTTCAATCATAACTTCTCTCTTTTCCTACCACCTGAGTATAGGATGAATCAAATTCCAGAACAAACTAGGTATAATCTACTCGCTATGTTGCTGCTTTCTGTCACATACAACCCGAGTGGACTGTAAACTTTACAGAAGCCAAGGCACAGTATTGGATTCAGTCTCACAAAGGCTTGGACATGTCAATGTGGCAATGCTGTCTTAGATAAAAAGAAGATATAATTTCTAATTTGCTAGCTCAAAGCAGTATTGAAAGAAATTAATGATATCAGTGGGGAGATTGTGTGAAATAAAGCACATCCATCCAGAGCTCATTACACATCCACTAAACGAGAGTTATTTGGACTTATCGGCAGGAACCCCTCAGCCAGGCAGGACAGGTAGCGGTCTGAAAGAGTGCTGTTGCGTGGCTCGGAAATGAAAAAGGTTGCAGGACTCAAAACCTGGACGGATGAGGTCCACAGTGGACCAAACCTTTATTTCTCTCTCCCTCTTTTTAAAATCACATTCTCTTTGTCTTTTTCTCCTGATCCAGTCAGGTAGAGACACCCAGACACCAGCAGGATGCTCTTTAAGTATTAATTTTGTAGTACTAATGACTGGGAGTGAGCCCTCACAGCTTGTTGGTATAACAGAACAAAGTTTCTTTATCACTCTCATATATTGGTCATGAAGAGAGACAGAGATGCTGCCTAGAGTTCAACCTGTTCTTTCTTGGTCAGTGGTTAAATTAAAGAGGGGGGATCAAAATAAAAATATTGAGCCAACAGCCAAACTGGTGAAACGGTTATCAGATTTTGTTGGCATACAGCGTCTCCTCGTCGCTTTCACTCTCGTCCTGAAACTCGTGGGCAAGCAGTGACTTCTTGGAGCCCATAGAGGTGAGCCGGATCTCATCCTCATAATCATCTCGGTGCTGCCGCAAACGGTGGAAGCCATCTTTTTGACGGTTGGACTTGGCTGCGCAGACACACCAGATGATGCACGCCGTCACCACTAACGCTGTCATAGAGGCCGCTGCAAGGAGGAAGAGGAATACACAACTCAGCATGTCTGAATGTTAAAAATATTTTCCATCACACACCAAAAAAAGGAGTAAACATTTTATGATGTAAGCGCACTAAACATAAGATTGTACTCCTCAGGTGTCAACGACAAAGGCCAAAATGGTAAGACACTGACTGTCTTAGAGTCAAAATTTTTATTTAAAAAGGAGTTCAAATATGTCAGCCTGAAAATACTGAAAAGAGTTATGAATTACTTCAACAGTATTTCAGAAAGGCGAGGCGGTTATTGGGTGTCACAGATCATAAGATACTACATATTAGAAAAAAACAACATTACTAGATAAAGTCAAAACCCATTTAAGGTGAATTGTTTACTAGCACAAGTTGCTTTAACACAACTACATTGCATGGCAACTGTCAAAAGGTTTTTAGCAACATTAAATCGGAAACTATAGATAGGAATACCGTTTTAGCACATTACAATAGCCAAAATACAAAATATATAAGATAGAGGCTTTATTTTTTGTGGACAGGTCACATGATGCATATAGTCAAAACTGGTTACATAAGGTTTTTCAGTGACATGCTTACCTGCACTAGCCACCACAAACTCTCTGGGCAGGCCAAAGATGCTGTTGTCCATGTCAAACTCAATGATGATGGAGCTAGCAGCTTCATAGGAAGATATCACCACCTGCAACACAGCCAAACATGGTCAGATATCATTAATTGTGGGATGATGATTTACAGTATAACAGCAATATTCCAAATATGGTAATTCTGATGTTTGAGACATTTTTTTCTGTACTTGTTTTGGGTGTGGTTTCCTCTAAATCTAAACTGCTGCAGTCAAGGTTATACTTATACATCTTAAATGCTGTGGCAATATTACCCAAGGTTCTTAAAAATACTTGTTTCTAGAATTTTACAAACATTTGCCGACATTGGTGTGTGTTTGAGACATGTGAAATTCAAATAATGAGAGTTTGTAGTTGCTCAACCACATCTAATCCTTAGGCATTCAGCAGTCTGCTCCAGAACTGAGGTTGTTAATTACCCAATTAGCAGGTTTATTTGCAGGTGTGCCTCCTTAGTATATTTTGTGCAGGTTGTCTTGATTTGAGCGCTGCTCATAAAAATCCAAAATGACTATCTTCTGAGAGGTAAATTACAAGAATCTCAGAATTCACTTTTTGTATTTTGCTTGACTTTTCTCTAAAGTGAAGTGTCTCTCATTTATTCGGTGTCATTATTTAAGTGCAGTTTAAAACAATGGGGAAACTAGACTCAAAGCTTAGGAAAGGAAGGATTTCAAACCATGTAGTTTCAGACCTGATTTAGTAATGTGGTCTGAAAACGCGCCCAAAGAGTAAGTGTACCACTCAATTCTTTCATCTTTCATTGTATCATCAATATGGTTTGCTGACTGTTTTCTGCCAGCAAAGCACAGAAGAACATACAGTGACATCTAACTAACATCACTTTAATTTCCAGAGGAATGAAATGCGTCCTTATGGTCTAAGGCGGAGTATTCGATGTCCTAAGAAATATGGTGACACTATTAAAGAGAGGAAATACATGGTGGCCCAAAGTTATGATCTGGACCTTGTGTGTGAGCGGAGTGAAGCAGACCCCCAGAAATCCCTGGATGGCAGGTATTTAAGGAACGCTGCTGTTCTCCCAGATCTCAGACTGCCCCACAGCGACGGAGCCCTTGCTACTGGAGGGAGGACCTGCAGCAGCGTGTCGTCAACTACTCAACCAAGACCTCTGATGATCCACGGCTTCACAGTACCAGAGTACCAGCATACATATCATTCAGTGGTGGATCCTCTGCTCATTAGTTCTTGCGGGAAGTTCAAAGCCTACAGTCTGGAGCTGGGGCGTAACATTAAGGAGCATCTGTTTAAAGAGCTGGCCTACCCCACGCTTGACATTTCAGTGCAGCCAAATGGAAAGGTGGAGGTGACTGAGAGATTCTGTGTGCTCCGCCCTACACCTTTCATAGACCTAGACAGTAATAGGGAACAACAGTAATACTCTCTCACAGACTTCCTATGATATGAGTGTGCTGTTCTTGTTTGGTTTTTTTTGTCAGTTCATGTCTCTTGATTTTCCTTGTAGCAGCTGAATTTATATTTCATGTCAAATGTTTGACATTTTGCAATGAAGCTCCTCTTATAAACTGTTAAAAAGACAAATGATGCAAGATCAATGGAGCCAAAATCTGTGACTACTGCATTTTTAATTGGGGTTTGTTTCTGCCCAAACTCCAAGTCCAAAGTGTTCAGCATATCAAATGATTTGTTTAAAAGCCACTAAAATAATGTAGCGTACTGTGTATGTTTATGATCACCACCGGAACACCCGGAGCGCATGTGGTTGCAACCAGGGCACAGCTGACTTCTGCTTTCCAATATTTTCATAAATATCAATAGTCCAACTCAGACACTGTAAGCCTGTAATTTACTCAACACTATCATCGTTATTAAATGCTTCTTGTGCCACAGCTTCAAAATGTTAATGGCGTATACATTTTTCAAAGGCCTAGTCCAGGTCCCTGTTTCAGAAAGCAGGCTTAAACTCTGAGCTTGTCCCGGAACTCCAAGTTGATTGAGCCTGAGATGGGCAAACTCAGAGTTCAGTTCCACAACGGCTGATCAGAATTAGTCCAATCAACTCGAGTATGTTGAACCTGATTGAAGCGTGTACATGGGGATGAAAAAAATTAATGCGTGCTAGAATTCTCCTATAGCCCATTAAATTTGATTTTAAAATATATTCATTCAGCTGTAAACTGACAGTGCAGTGCACCATGGCAATAACGGAAGAAGAAAATAGGCATCAAGCATAAGACAGTTTCTCGTGGACCTGTGATTGTAAAGTCACAGTCCAACCCAGTCAGCTATTAATTATATTTTTGCTTTGGAAAAAGTGTCTGTAGTTTTAAAGTGACTTTTAGACGTCTATTTTACTACTTTAAGTCTTGTTCATTTTGTATTAAATGAAATGCCGTCAAAACACATTAAGACTGTATGCAGCTAATTTTGAAAAACTCACTTTTAAACTATGCTATATTTAGGCTATTAGTTTCAGCTGCACCACAATCATGCTCACTCAGAAATATTCACATCATCTCCAACATAACTATTACAGAAATCTTCCATAGGTGCGAAATCACAATATGACATGATTGTTAATTGATCAGTTACAGCTTCCTACAGATTAGTTTGATTTAATTAGCCTACTGTAGTAATGTAGCCCAAGGTATGTGGTAAGAGTCACAGTGTTATAAAGGACAGTGTAGCCTCCTAGTTTATTTTCTGTGCTGAGGATAAATCTACAATGTCCAGAGATCACTGTCCGTACATCGATGCTAGATTGATCATTAAAGTAGTCATGTTCAAGATCATGATTTGGTAACAAATTTATAGGCTATCTAAGCATGATTTTTATGTTTCTAAAAGACGTAAACTTCCAAAATGTGCTTTTGTGTCACAGATAAACTTCACAGCATAAGTTGTTGGAGATCTAGGGTTTATCTGATCTTGGTCTCTGAAACAGAAAACCGAGAGTTTCCCTCATCTCAGGCTAAACATACTCAGAGTATTCAGGGTTCAAATAAAATCTGAGGAAAATAACATTTGAATTTGAAGATTCATTTGTAAATCTCCATTTTTGTATGCATTTCAGTTGGAAAATATAAATAAGAAACTAACTTAAATTTATTTTCTATCCCATCATGGCCATCTTCCTGAAAGCTTGTACATTCCTGGCCTGCATAATACATAGTATGTATGACTGTGTACCTCTTGACGTTGTTGTTGGTAGCCATCAGCAACAGCTTCAATGTTGTGGTTGCCAGGAGCGAGCAGCGCATGAAAGTAGCCACCCTCTGTAGTATAGACTCTGACTCCACCATTCAGCACAATGATCGCCCCAACAACAGGCTTTCCGCTCTTGTCCCTCACCAAACCACGCACCCCTTTATGGACCTGGATGGGGTAGAAATGGAGGGAAAATTAAGGCTACATGATGATGAAAAAATTATCATCTTAAATATTATAATATAATTTGGTTTGAGGACTTCATATATATATATATATATATATATATATATATATATATATATATATATATATATATATATATATATATATATATATATATATATACACACACATATATATACACACACACACAGTGGGTACAGAAAGTATTCAGACCCCTTTAAATTTTTCACTCTTTGTTTCATTGCAGCCATTTTCCAAAAATCAAAAAAGTTCATTTTATTTCTCAGTAATGTACACTCAGCACCCCATCTTGACAGAAAAAACAGAAATGTAGAAATTTTTACAAATTTATTAAAAAAGAAAAACTGAAATATCACATGGTCATAAGTATTCAGACCCTTTGCCGTGACACTCATATTTAACTCAGGTGCTGTCTATTTCTTCTGATCATCCTTGAGATGGTTCTACACCTTCATTTGAGTCCAGCTGTGTTTGATTATACTGATTAGACTTGATTAGGAAAGCCACACACCTGTCTATATAAGACCTTACAGCTCACAGTGCATGTCAGAGCAAATGAGAATCATGAAGTCAAAGGAACTGCCTGAAGAGCTCAGAGACAGAATTGTGGCAAGGCACAGATCTGGCCAAGGTTACAAAAAAATTTCTGCTGCACTTAAGGTTCCTAAGAGCACAGTGGCCTCCATAATCCTCAAATGGAAGACGTTTGGGACGACCAGAACCCTTCCTAGAGCTGGCCGTCCGGCCAAACTGAGCTATCGGGGGAGAGGAGCCTTGGTGAGAGAGGTAAAGAAGAACCCAAAGGTCACTGTGGCTGAGCTCCAGAGATGCAGTCGGGAGATGGGAGAAAGTTGTAGTAAGTCAACCATCACTGCAGCAATCCACCAGTCGGGGCTTCATGGCAGAGTGGCCCGACGGAAGCCTCTCCTCAGTGCAAGACACATGAAAGCCCGCATGGAGTTTGCTAAAAAACACCTGAAGGACTCCAAGATGGTGATAAATAAGATCCTCTGGTCTGATGAGACCAAGATAGAACTTTTTGGCCTTAATTCTAAGCGGTATGTGTGGAGAAAACCAGGCACTGCTCATCACCTGTCCAATACAGTCTCAACAGTGAAGCATGGTGGTGGCAGCATCATGCTGTGGGGGTGTTTTTCAGCTGCAGGGACAGGACGACTGGTTGCAATTGAGGGAAAGATGAATGCGGCCAAGTACAGGGATATCCTGGACGAAAACCTTTTCCAGAGTGCTCTGGGCCGAAGGTTTACCTTCCAACAAGACAATGACCCTAAGCACGCCGCTAAAATAACGAAGGAGTGGCTTCACCACAACTCCGTGGTTGTTCTTGAATGGCCCAGCCAGAGCCCTGACTTAAACCCAATTGAGCATCTCTGGAGAGACCTGAAAATGGCTGTCCACCAACGTTTACCATCCAACCTGACAGAACTGGAGAGGATCTGCAAGGAGGAATGGCAGAGGATACCCAAATCCAGATGTGAAAAGCTTGTTGCATCTTTCCCAAAACGACTCATGGCTGTATTAGATCAAAAGGGTGCTTCTACTAAATACTGAGCAAAGGGTCTGAATACTTATGACCATGTGATATTTCAGTTTTTCTTTTTTAATAAATTTGCAAAAATTTCTACATTTGTTTTTTTTTCTGTCAAGATGGGGTGCTGAGTGTACATTACTGAGAAATAAAATGAACTTTTTTGATTTTTGGAAAATGGCTGCAATGAAACAAAGAGTGAAAAATTTAAAGGGGTCTGAATACTTTCCGTACCGTATATATATATAAATAATAAAATAATTTAAACACTTAATTTTCAAGTTTCTATACTGCTGCATTACTTCCTGAAAATCTCTCATTTGAAAGTGGTTATAGAGGTATACAGGTCAAACATCCATTGAATGTCCCCATGTTGTGCTAATAAAAATCATGCACTGTACCTCCACCAGCATGCTGAGGAGAGGCTTCTTGTTCTCAGCCCAGAGTGTGGCAAGCTGCTCAACAGGTGGGAACAAACAGCAGCCAGTATACACTGTAATTTCTGGACAGTGGCCAAAGTCCATACTGAAGTCCTGGGAGGACACATAGACACAAGGTGATACATGAGACAGCACTGAGGCAGATGCCCATTTCTCCAAACTAACATTCAGGATCTCAAAAGTGTTTAACAAGCTGCAAATACATGAACAATTTGCAAAATAGCACAAATCCACTGAAAAATGAAGTGTGCTTTTTCATTGCAGATCATATCTTGAAAAAATACTTTGAAGTGGCAGAATGGTGGCCATCTGAACTCCAGTAACTGCTTTCACAAACAGTGGGTTGTAGAGTCTTACCTTCATGCTCCCCATATGACTTTGTCTCTCTGCTGCCCTCATCACTCCATCTGGGATGTTTCCCACTGAGTAACAGAAATGTTCCATTAGCTTTTAACAACTATCTTCTTATTAATGACTGACATTCAATACCAACATGAGGACTAATTATTGATAGGGCTTAAATTACGTACTCTGACCATTATTTGAACAGCCAGTATCCCCCAGATGCATCTTGGGGTGGTTGTTGGCATAAACACTTGCCAAGTACTTCAGTGTGCCCTCATTTTCAACTGGGGAATTAAAAAAAAGATAATAAATACATAAATAAAACCACACAGCCAAACTTAGTTCTATTAAGTAGTGTCTAACAGCAACCAGTGTAGAGGTGGTGTATGATTTGTCCTACTCAGCAAATTGCTGTTATTTAACGTATGTTTATATATGCTGGATGCGTGGCCAGACGGGCCAACTAATGGACATCACAATACTTGGACAAGTGTGCAATCTTAAAAGTGGCTCCATTTCGAACACTAAACTGATTTTAAAATCTTAATGAGAAAATATACTATAAATAACATAACTTAGCCACGCAGATTCTTACAAGAAGTTATCAAAACAAAATGAAGTTTTCTGCTCAGTGTTGTTACCTGACTGGACAGGCTTGTCATACGGGTAGGTAGCAACAAGGGAGCCTCCATCAAGGGCTACAGATAGAGTGTAGCTCTTGTCCACAATCATGTCCATCATCGCTCTGGTCTCTGGTTGGGCCTCCACCACACGCTGTGATGCATTGCCTAAAAAAGGAGGAAAACAGCATGCTCAGCTTTTTAAGACACATAGACAAACATTGACATTTATTTGTTACACTCGCAACATATGTTTCACCAATTGCAGACTGAATAAATAGATTTAATCATCTTCTTTTACATTACATTTCATTTAATTTAGCGGACGCCTTTATCCAAAGCGACTTACAATTGCTATGTATGTCAGAGGTTGCACGCCTCTGGAGCAACTAGGGGTTAAGTGTCTTGCTCAGGGACACATTGGTGGATGTGTCACAGTGGGGAATTGAACCCGGGTCTCTCACACCAAAGGCATGTGCCTTATCCACTGCACCATCACCACCCTTTTTGTCTCCGTCTCTCAATTCAACCGTGCACCCACAAATCCTTACAACTGACCAAAGAAATCAGTGTCCAGATCCTTCCCATGAGCATTGCTCAAGCCCTGGGTGGAGGTGCACTGCTTCTCAACAGCCTGTTCTCGTCCATCTGGGTTAATAGAGGGCACGATCACAATCCGGGTCTCATTGATCAGCTAGGGAAGGGAAATGGAGATGGAACAATTACAGATATGGCTGCCCTATACACTGTATTTACTGGGACTGGTTCTTTCCTGCTAAAACAAAATTACAATTCCGACTGAACTACATGCAGGGTATCAAACACTATATATTTTCTGAGGGGGTTCACTGACCCTGGTGATAGCTGGGTTCTTGCCATAGTTGATACACAAGAAGGCAGCAAACTCCAGCAGCAGCTCTGTGCCCACCGGAGCATTGCCATGGATCCCTGCTACAAAGCGGATCTTGGGCTCAGATGGTTCAGCTTCCCCTGGTTTGTTGGAGATTTCCAGAGCCCAAATGGTTCGAAACTCTACACTTTGGCCCAAACTGGGCAAGAAGAGTAGAAAAAAAAACAGCATTGATTTTTGGCACACAGAGGATGAGAGGGATAGAAGTGGGATATTAAACATGTATGTATACTTAAAAGGAAGTGACATTGGCTGGTTCAGATACAGGGCTTGGGGGAAGATTGCCTACCTGCGTAAAGATGTAATTTGGGGAAAATTAAGTGTGAGGCCTCTCACGACGCCGGACAGCTCTTTGTAGCGTCGGTAGCGGAAGGTGTTCTCAGTGGGTGTGTTCCTGACCAATTGCTCCAAACCCTGGCCTAAAGAGAGGTCCTTAATTAGGCTCTGGAACTCCTTCTCAGATGGGTTCTGTGTGGGTTGGGGGCCCTCGAGAGACTGGCCATTGGGATCTGAATGTACACGTTTCAGTCTGAAGTCCACCACCTCTACTCCATCCTTTGAGACTGTGGCGTAGGTACTCAGAGGTTTATATCTTGACAACAGAAAAAGTTAATTAAACGTTAATAGTACTGGAAATAATGGGAAATAGCACAGAAATATACAGAAACTTCATGGTAAATGATCTGTTTGTTCTTCCTTCTGAAACCCTAATCTCACCCATGGGCGGTGGCAGTTATAGAGTAAGTCCCAGGGGTCAGCAGTCTCCAGTAGTCTCCAGCACGAGCCGTGGTGACGTTGTGGTCTATCTCCTGCACACTAATGGTTGCATTGGGAATTCCTGTACCATCCCTTATGTCAGAGACAGTGCCCTTTACTCCCCTGTGGACCTGCAGAGACACATAACCACTCAAATGTGAGTAGATGCAAAACTGAGAGAAGTGAGGAGAAAGTGCAGGGTAACATTAAGATTTGTATTTATTACTTGGTGCATAAACTGAAGCAAGCCACGTCGGTTTTGTTCCCAGTATCTGGGCAGGTTCTTGGCCATAGGGTACTTCACACAGCCCAGCTCAATGGTGACCTCAAAACAGTTGGTGTTTAAGTAGTTCCAGTCCTGCATGCCACCTGGATAAGAAATAAATATATATATTTCAACTCCATCTTAAAGTAAAGCGTTCACTTAAAGCCACTATGTGTTGAAGCTTTATGTGATGCTAGCATAACTTTTTGTTTGCAAAAAATTAAGACAATCCCAGTGAAACGTGGTACAGGCAAAGAGGCACCACATAACTGCAATGTTGTGACAATTATTGAAGAACTAGTAACAATATATAACATACAACTACAGGAGCTCCATTTATTTTTCTTTGCAGACAAACCGACTGACTAAACTATAAAAGAGATGTTTGAATTGGCCAAAGTGCTGTGGGAAAATCAAAGGAGAATGAGAGATGTAGGCATACCAGGAACATTGTACCAGTTGGCACCGTTGGTGATCCCATCTTCAAAATATTCACCAGGGTACAGGTCGTCACAAGGGTGTCCATTGTGCATCAGAGGGTTTTCCTGCACACACATCACACAAGTGATAATTCACAAGTGATAATTCAACAATGAGTACTGTTGTACTCAACTTTTTGAACCTGGTCTCTCCACAGATTTCACAAAATGTCTGTGGCTTTTATCAGAGCTAGCACCACATTTTGTTTTTAATACGAAAACACAAGCAGACATGATCCCAACCTGAAACAGATCCATCAACAGTATCCAGTTACCTGTGAGTAGGCTCTAGACACCTGCTGAAAGACTTTGTCGTCAGGTGACAGGCTGTACTCAGTCGTTCCTTTTTTGTCATCATCATAGGGGTAGTTGACCACCAAGGAACCTAAATTCCACAACACAAAGACACATTAATATAAACTTCACAATGCACTACTATTTAGATTTAAACTGTGTATCTGTAGTAGTAGTCCTTTAAAGTTATTTAAGTTCAATTATATTCAATTAAAGTCAAATTATCTGTCATGTTACAGTCTCTAAGAGATAAAAAACACTCAAAACATACACACAACATATACAATACTAATACAATATTTTAAACTGTAAAAATCGAACACACTATCAAAAGGTGGCTGTGGCACTGACTGACAATCTTTAACACTAAAATCACAAAATAAGACCGTGCCTCCATGGAGGTTGGCTGACAGGACGAAGGGGATGCTCTTCAGCCAGTTCATCACAGCTATAGTCTCTGGCTGCCTGGGCTCTGTGATGGTGGAAAACTGGTCTGGGAAGTTGCGGTTCAGGTCGAAATTGTTGCTGTTGTTGCGTCCTTTGTAGCCCTTTACATCACCTGTGAGGGAATAAGTTCTAGTCATGAGTCACCTATATGTATCTGTAACTAGCATGGTGCTGCGGTTTCCTTTTAATCTGACTTCCAGGAAGTCATTCACCACTGAAATAAACAGACTTAGCTCGTCATCCTCTACACTTCCTGCGAAAAGTCATTGGTGGATAAAGAAGTGCATCGTGAAACTTTCCCATTCTTTAAAAGTGTTGACAGCAGCAAGATGGTTAAACCAAAGCGATTTCAACCAGCCAATGAGGTGAAGCCAGCAGTATTTAAGGAGATAATATGTATAAATATGCCAAAGAAATTACAACACCTAATTGTACCTACTTCTTAAACCTATAAACATTTAATTAACACAGAGCATATCCCAAAGCAATTTATATTACGTGTGTGAACTGTATACTAAAATATTTGACATGGCATGCCAATTTCATACTATCCAGGTAGTGTTACTTTATTGTTGCCAGTGTAAGAACTTGTTAGTGTGTGCCTGTGTGTGTCCCTTTCTCTTACCTTCAGTGGCTACCTCATAGCCGTCAGGGTTCATGGAAGGCATGATGTGAATGCGGGTGTTGTTGACCAACTTAGTGACCTCTGTATCAGTACCATAGTTACGGCACAGGTACTCGATGAGGTTGAGTAATAACTCTCTGCCCACCACTTCATTACCGTGCATGTTGGCTATGTACTTAAACTCTGGCTCACCTGATGTGAATGTGAAAAAAAAAAAAAAAGGTCAGTCAGAGTTAAAATTCCTACTAATAAGATAACATTAACATAACATCAGGGGTGCTAAGATGAACATATTACCTCATGTACACAAAAGGAAGTATCCTTTAGTATGACTTTAAACAAATATTTAAGACATACCATGCTCATGGACATTAGGGTTGTCTGAGATGACCATCACATAGAGCTCACGGTCTTCCACGGAGCGGCCAGCTGAATAAAGATGGGTGATAGAGGGGAACTCGCTGCTGTACTTGCGTAAGAACAGCTCCATGTCTGCGTAGTTGTGGTGACGAAATTCCTGGGGCTGGATGGGCTGGGGTTCGGGAGGAAGCACAGAAGGACTGTCCTTGTTTCCCTCAGAAGGAGTCACTTGGGTGTGGGTAGAGTTAGAGGAGATGGCAGTGGTGGTGGAGATGTTTGTGTCACTGGTGGATGGCACAGAGTATGTGGTCACAGTGGTGCCACCAGCTGCCTCATTGACCACAGGTGCCAAGGTAAAGTTAACTTCTGTGGCTTTGCCCTCCATGACATGGACACTGTAGACTGTCACTGATGTGTACCTGTGTACAGGAAAAAAAACACATGCTTGATGACTGTGAAACAGTGCAGTTTCCTTTTACCTGGAAGTCATTTACCACTGAACTTGTGGAACATATTTTTCTTTCACTATAGTAACAAAGAGTTACTCTGTAACTCTAAGGAGGAAGTAACCAATGTTGTGCATTTCTTTAGTGCAGGACTTCTGGGTAAGTCTGGCTGGAACATGGAGACTGAGCTTCATTGTCTGATAACACATTTTGCATCGTTCATTGTGATCTGGCAACCATCAACAGGCAACAAACAGTGATGAATGCACCACTCACTGGGCTGTCATTGGTCATTGCAATGAAATTTGAAACCTGACTAGTATTTGGCCTTTTGTGTTGTCCTTTTTTAAAAGTTATAGGACCCCATAGGACATTTATATTTATATATTGTAGATTTGGGCTATGTCTTGTAGGTATGTGTGTGTGTGTGTATATATATATATATATATATATATATATATATATATATATATATATATATATATATATATATATATATATATATATATATATATATATATATATATATATATATAAAATTTGTATAACACTATTTTTCATATTTTCCTTTTTATTTATATCAAAAGGATTATAGGTGTATGTTTTGATGGTTGAGGAAATCTTAAATAAATAATTTGCTACATGAAATCATGGTTACACTCCCAATTCAGCTGTGGACCATCATGCATAGTGCATGATGGGCTATATTTAAGCACTGTGTCACTTTATGATTTATATGTCATTTGAAAGGTCCTTGTAATCGAAACATCAACCCTTTTTGAAAATAAATCAGTGCTGGGGTGTATGACGGAATATACCTTCTTTTTTCTACAAGTGTTGTCCTTTAATGTACAACATCTGTTTTTGAAAACCTGCTATGCGAAGGAAGGAAGTTTTAGTAGTTACCCTGGGGCCACAGCTGTGATGTTGTATGTTCCTGGGAGTAGGAGGCGGTAGTAGTCCCCGTAGTTTCCTGTGGTCAGGTTGTGACGAATGCCTACCACTACAATGTTGGCATTGCTGAGAGCAGCGCCACTGATGGCCTCTTTCACATAGCCGCGGACACCTATATGGACCTGGAAGACAGCAGTATTGTAAATACCAAGGACATGTTGCTGAACTGGAACAATGACATGCAAACAGCATCAGGCATTATTCTTTTAAAAAAAAAATAAAACTGAAGATACATCATAACAAATACTGATGTAGCTTTACTCTTTTTTTGTTATAAACTCAACCTTTTCAATGTAGGCTAGTAGGGATTCCCTATTCAGATTCCATTCCTTATGGAGCTCGGAAGCAGGAGGATATTTGCAACAGCTCAGCTCCACGGTGATTTCCAGACAGTTTCCATAGAGGTAGTTGTAGTCCTGCATCCCTCCTAGATAACAAGCAAGCAATATAATAAACCAATCATGCTACAAAGACATAAATCAGTCAATTATATATTATATGAAGCATAAAGAAGAAAAATATGTCTAAAGTCAGGAATTAATGGTGTATACAACATGTAATCATAAAGTAAATTCTTAAACATGCTCTGCTTCCCTAAATGTGACCCCCCACTGTTGTCAGGCAAATCTGGAAAGTCTTGAGCCTGTCTTGGTCTCTCCAGTGCTACAGTTTAAAGATAGTGTTTAGTGTGGCAACAAGCCATGACATCTGCAGTCTGCCAGCCAACCTAGCCCTGCAGTAAGGCAAAGAGAAACGAAACACAGGAGGGCAGGCTGCTCAGTTGGCCTTCCCACTGGAGCGACAGCAGGCAGCCAGAGGCTCCCAGGCTGGAGGGTTGCCATGACTGCCTGCTGAGTGGCCACAGGAACCCAATGAAACAGCCACCGTTTGTCACTTTGTATCAGTCAAGAGAAAGGGCACACACACCTAACATTAACAAATACCTTCAGCAAAGCAAACTGCCTCCCACCAGTCTCAATGAGGAAGACATCAACAACGCCGCAGCAGATAAATGCTGGATTTTAGCACACAAGTTTTAGCTATCGGTGATGCACAACAAAGACAAATCCTAGAACATTTTTACACGATTGTTTTTCCTGGGGTCCACATAAACACACATACACAAAAGAAAAACCTAATATCCAGAACTTTACAAAACTCTAACGCCCCACATCTATATAGGCAATAAAGTCCCGTGAGTACTGCTTTATACAGTGCTTTTTGCAGGCTGACTGATTTGCAGGACATTCATACAGATACCCATTTTTAAATAATCTGATCTGCATGGCTTATGAAGAGATCCTCCTGAGAGTCATGTTACTAACTGACTTTGGAAAGTGGAGGAAATACAGTGAAGAAAATTACAACAGATCTCTTACAAGCAAACGAGAAAAGTCAGAGGCTATTATGTGGTACACATCTTGGCTCTGAGAGCAGGCGTACCAAAATATACACCACAAACACAAGGTCTTCTGAGTCATCCCCGGTCAACCGACAGCTGTTCAGCTGTCTGATACTTGGCGAGTGTGACTGGCTGCCAGGTCATTCTGTAAAGGGTAATTTCATAATAAAGTATTAAATGATTCATCAGACAAGTCTGAGACATGTTTTTTTAGTTGTCCATATCGCAGTGGTCTGACAGAATAATAGTAAATACATGAGGGGCATTCCAATTACATGCCCTGGCGTAATCTATCAGAACTCATCTGGCGGGTACAAACATTCACACAGGGCCCTCTGAGCTTATTTTGAAGATGGGTGGGGTGTGTGTAGAGATCTGTCGGGGTAATTCATTCGAGGTTTTACCCCCTGTGATGGCAGCAGACAGGAGGGTGCTATGTCAACCAAGCCAAACTATGCCTTTAACAAATCTCACCTGCTAATGATGAGCAAATAACACTAGACTGTGTGTGGAAATTCATACTCAACGACATGACAAACATCATAAAACTCTTTCCTCAAAGTCACAAGACATTAGGCGTCGTCCCATGCCAAGTTACTTTAAGTAGTTAAAGCCGAATCAGGTACCATTCACTTAAAGTAAATAAGTCTCATATGCTGAAAGAGCACGGCAAACACACAGACAGACTATGGCAGCCCCAAACTTAAATATCCTGTCTATGTACCGGATCCAGTGACACACCCTGAACATAGCAGGAAAGCAATGGCAAGACAATGGAGCCAAAGACAGAGCTAGTAGCTGAATTTGCTGTGTAGGGCACAGGGATGCTTATAATACAGGGTGTTAGGAGTTTAGTGACACATTGAAAAAAAAAATCTCCTACAAACATTTAAAATGATAATCCAGGAGGAAAAATTATCTAAAAGTATTACTGTCGTATGACTGTCATTGTCATTAGTATAGAGTGATGTAATGTTAAAGTATGGCTATCAGAGGTCTGAACGTTCAAAGGCACTTCCAGGGCCTTAGATAATCACAGCAATAGAGCTATATTTACATAGAGTAAAATGATGTCCTCACCTTTGTTCTCTCACATGTCTAAAGGCAGTTATGTATCTTTCAACACATACCAGATTACAATAACCTCGGCCTACAGCTTTGAACAAATGACCCATAAACATTTTAAACAGTTAAGTTTGGAATAGAGACACATTACACAACACCACTATCTATCTAGTTAGCTAGCTAGCTAGCTAGCCATCTATACACAGTGTTACATAAGGACACAGAGGACAGACTGTGGCAAATGATTATGAGTCAAGATAACATGTTACCCAGAATTATTATTTCAAGCCCTGATTGCCACACAAAAAATCTCCTGTTTCTGACTCCTGGTCCTGGCGCTTTGCCTGTGCCCCTCATTATGTCACACAATGTCCTGGCCGTTTCCATCATCTGCCATTAGCCCAGTTTTAGCAGTGACATTTTGTCAACAGAGACATGTCAGACAGACACCAGCATTGTTCATTCAGCTGTTTTACACTTTTTGCTGTTTATCTTCATCTTGAGATTTGCACTTTGTTGCTGCTAAGAGCTTTAATAACTGGCTCCCGTTACAGCCTGAACGGTCTCTGTCTGAATACTGGCTGTTCTCTAGTTGAGAAACAGCAACAACAAAAACAGTTAATCAGCTGAATCGGGCCTTTAGTTGTCACGGTGCTTCAGGTTTCTGATGACCAACAAAGCCAAGATTTAGCCAAGTGTGTGCTCAAGGCTTTGGTAATGATTTACAGCACCGGTTCCTTCTGGTGGTTAACAAACCGTGTGACAAGCAACAGGAAAGAATACTAGTTTTTTTTCACTTTAACTATGTACATTACTAAATCTGAGGGATTTATCCTAAACAGTTGGTCTAAACAAGCATCATATATACATAGAAGTATCATCATACTGCTACTTAACAACACCACAATCTCAGAATTACACTCATACTATATGCTTAAAAACTGATTTAAAATGTCCTGATGGATCAACCGAGTTTTGAACTGAACTTTAATTACCTATTGTAATTGAGGAGCAAACCATAGTACCTGCACATGGAGTAGCTGGTTTCACTAATTATATCTAGACATCCAACACACTTGAAAAACTGAGGTAAGGAATAACATGAGAGCAAACAAGATACTTCTCCTGGAGAGCTACGGTTTAATCAAGCCAATTCATCTGACCAACGCAACTGCAGGCTACTTCATGGAAAAACAACACTTGGAAGACAGTCAGTCCCTACCTAAAATTTACTACAACAAATCTCAATAGAAAAATGATAACTGCAGTAACCTGAAGCTGCAGACACTGCAGACATGACACCACCCCCTTACAGGAAACCAACTAAACAACAGTAGAGAGGTCTACTGATCAAGTTTCTGCGCAAGTGATGCAGAGTAGAGCAGTTTCTGAACCTGAATGGTGTTCGTGGAGAAAAATAAAAGCAGAATTACAATATAAGCCTATCTACTGCTCTAACACCTCCAGCAATTATAGTAAACCCAATGAGTAGCCCACTCTGAGCTTGAGTGAGGCTTTTTTAGCATATAATATTTGGCAAACCCAAAACCAAGCCACTCACTATTCAGAGCTTCAATGACATAAATGTATTTTGTAATGTATCTATCCTAAGTATCTCTATTCACTAAATCTTGAAACTGTATATTACAAGTTGATCAAGGCTGATATATCAAGTCTAACAGCACTAACAGTAACAATGAACTTCATTTTATGTTGCCTTTTAAGTTTTAAGCTAATTAAATGAAAGAATAATGCTACTGGAATCTGCCTCCAAGCAGCTTTGGTGACCAAAACTTTGAAAAGTTGCTGCAATGTAATTTAAGCTACTGAGCTCAGAAAAGATTATTTTTTTTTTTTTTTTTACATGTGATCTGCAATGGGAGAAAACCTTGCTGTGACAATAGTTTAAACCGTGCTCCACCAAGTGCAAAGGAAATTGAGATAATTTGTTCCTGAATCTCGTCAAACAGGTTGTAGCTTGCTGCCACTCCAACAATACGAAGTCACATTCTGGGTTTCAGATGGGGAGATATCGAGCAGCAGCATAGCTTAGACTCTGTCTGCAACATGGGGTTGGGCGATACAACAATAATGATGATAATAATCGCAATATTATTTCCCTTAATATTTTCTATTGGGAAATTTATTTTGTGAAAAAGGTCTGAAAAAAGGTTTTACTTAATGTTACTCATGTATATTTGTTGAAAAAAGATTTTATAATAATCGTTTTGAATGTTCTTCCTCAGATTTGTTGAGTGATCCACCATTTGGAAAGTGTTATGTCATGTTCTGACCATAAGGAAAAGTTTAAAACCACAATTAACCATCTGGTTTCTTCAACTTTCAATCAGGTGCAAAAATCAGCCTTTAAACTTGAAATAAATAATGATTTGGCATTTATCGTGATAACTACTGATAAGATTTATTTTATCGTGATAACATTTTTGGCCATTTCGCCCAGCCCTACCTCAACAAATACAAAACTTGTAACAAATAATAGAGAGCAACGACTGGACAAATCCTTTTATACAACACACCTAGGATGTGATCCCCTGAGGTCCAGCTGGACATCCTCACCTCCAAGCTACAATGATTAGTTCTAAACTAGGCATTTAAAACAATGAAAACTGAATCGTCTTACCAGGTACGTCATACCACTGCGCCCCATTGGTGATGCCATCTTTAAAGGTTTCGTCCATCGCATCGGGGCAGTTTGGCTGACCAGTCTTCATTATAGGGTGGCGTTGGGAATACACCAGGGCCAAGTGGCGAAACAGACTGTCGTCCTCTGACGGGCTGTAGTGGCCCTGCTGCTGGTGGGAGGCTGAGTCATCAAAAGGGTAACTGGCAACCACAGTGCCGCCGTGCAGGTTTCCTGACAGCACGAACCTGGAGAGACAATGGCACATTTTCGAAGCAGCCTTAAGTTCAAGCCTGTCTTAAATGTAAATGTTGCTCCTGTCTATATTGGCCGTAAGGCCAAGAGGGAATCTGGCACCAAATCCATTGTAAATTTGCGAGACAGGTCCCCACTTTACTTGTCTAACTCAGACTGCTGAAACTCATATGAGCCTCAGGTTAACTTCTTATTAATGCCTTTTTGCACAGAACGAGGACTGTGGATCCTGTCCCCTGCCTCTTACACTGGAGTAGAGATCTCCTCAGGGTCAGTATGGACAGAGAACAACAACTGTTTCAACATATATATGGGCATGTGAGTGTTCTATAAAGATAAAGTTCAAAACATGTGATCATATCCTTTAAAAAGTTGTGAAGAAAGAACTCTGCTGTAGGATTTCACAGAAACAAATAATGTAAAGAAATGTGATGCTGCTTAGAGGGAAATTCCCTTTTTGTCTGGCAGCCCTGGATCTGGCACAGCCACCGTAACTGGATGAACATTTGTGTGCATGCAGGGTTGAAGTCTTGCACAACCAGGACAGCAGTTCTTGCTGACTTTATTATGAGTCAGAGCCACACTTGTTACACTCTGAGCAGCTAATGAAGAAAACTAAAGGGGAACTGAGTTACTCATTGACAAAAATGTTTGTCACGCTCCAAATTAGGGTAGCAGCTAAACATTTTTAATTAATCTGCCAATATTTTTTTGTTGTTTTTGGCATTTAAGGCTTTACTGGATTGATAACATAAAGGCAGACAGGAAAAAAGGGAAAACACAACAGGGAATCAAACCGTGGCCATTAGGCTTATATGGCATGTGCTGTAACTATTCAGCTATCAGGACTTCTATAAAATGTCAGAAAATAGTGATAAATTTTCACCACAATTTCCTAAAGCCCAAGGTGATGTCTTTAAATTGCCTGTTTTGACCGACTAGCAGTGTAGAGCCCAAAGATTCTCAGTATCCTATCAAATAATTTAAAGGCTCCATAAGGAATATGTTGAAGGAGGTATGTGGTTGTTTTTCTTGACAGGCTACTGCGTTTGAATAGCTGTTCTTTTTGTTTTTGATTTTAGTTTTATTGTGAATTTTGTCATGTTGTCATACTTTATTATGTTGCGTTTCTGTATAGCTGCTACTTTGGCCAGGTCTCTCTTGTAAAAAGTTTTTGATCTCAATGGGACTTCTTGGTAAAATAAAAATAGCCTAATAATTAAAATGTGTGACATGTTTGAAAAGTGGCCATTAATCGATTAGCAAGATAGTTGAAGATTAAATTTTCTGTCAACTTACTTTTGATAAATTAATAGGTAATAAAAAGTGATGTTTCAGCTCTACTCCAAAGTGAACTTCAGCATTAACCTTCTGGTCTTATCACACCATTTTGGTATCACAGTGCAGCATTTCTTGACTTTAATATGAGTCACACTTGCTACCCCCTGAGGTCTTAACAAAGGAGACAAAGAAATCAGTTGCTCACTGACATGAATGTTTGTCTCCAAACATTTCACTGTGAAACACACATTGACCAAAAGGTGTTTGAGATCCATTAAGTTTACTGAAGCCAGGAGTGTGTGTGCTGGGGCTCTGAGGAGACTGTTTGTGGGTTTCATAAAAGAGAGAGACTCACTTTTTCTCCTTGATCCATCTGATCACAGCCATGACCTCGGGGATACTATCTGGGCTGACACTCGTCCCATCAAACTGGTCAGGAAAGCTTCTGTTGAGGTCTTTGTTTCGGGCATTATTTCGACCCTCGTTGTCGCCGTTGCAGTCCCCCTCTATGGACTTCTCAAAGCCGTCGGGGTTCATGCTGGGCATGATGTAAATATCCGTGGTATCCACCAGCTCAGTAATACGCGGCTCCTCCCCATATTCAGCCAGCAGGTACTCCACAAGGTACACCAACACCTGCCTGGACACGGTTTCGTCGCCGTGCATGTTCCCAACGTATTTAAATTTCGGTTTACCCGGTGCCTCTATGTTGGGATCCTTGGTGATCCGCATCACCCAGAGCTCCCTACCATCCACAGACCGACCTATGCTCGACAGTTTAGCTATTTGGGGGTATTTCTGAGCTAAGGACTGTAAAATATCGGTTAGCTCAACATAATTGTAGTATCTGTTGTAAGTTTCTACCGTTTCCTCCCTCGAGGGGGTGACGCTTCGTGTCCGGTGCAGCCTGGCGTCACCAAGAGAGACAACAAGAAAGAGAATAAGGGCGAAAAGTGGCACCCGTAGTTTCGGCGTCGTCGAGAGGTGCTCCCAGATGAGTGCCATGCTGACGTGTCTTCTACTGCCACACCATTCGGACTTTCAAATTAAATAAACAAACACCAGCGTCGAAAATGTTTTGAGTGTTTGTCCCCCCAAACGACAGACGTATTTCTGCTGTCAGAGCCAGTCTGGCCTGCCTGTTCCCATCTAGTTCCGCTTATCTCACAGGAGGCGGAGCTCAGCGGTGACGTCACGTTTTAAGGCGTAAGAGTGCCGTTTCAAGTTTTTCTTTTTTAACCTTTATTTTTTTGCCCAAACTTCCACAATTTCACACGCCTCTAAAATGGACCACGGTGATCAATTTGAATGTGTCTACCCCCCAGGAATACAATCTGTCTGTTTAGTAGACTTGATGTGCACAATCATCCGTACTAACTAATTTATGCAGTGAATCCTTAGTCAGAAGGTCAGAACAGCTAGTGCTGACTTCTTTTTTAATATCACGTTCTGATGTAGTTTTTCTTTTTCTTTTTGAATAAATGAACTAGAATATATTATTGCTTGTACACTGTTTAAACAAAATGCAATAAAACATGTGTTGATTTATTTACATTTATCTGACACTTACAATTGCTTTTTGCATATATATGTCAGAGGTCACACACACCTCTGGAGCAACTAGAGATTAAGCTCAGGGACACATTGGCGGATGGGTCACAGTGAGGGATTGAACCCAGGTCTCTAACGCCAAAGGCAGGTATCCCATCCATTGTGCCATCACCACCTTTACATAGTTGAAATTTCTTTTAATCCATCCTGCTGTTTCTGTGTGTGTAGGTTATGTGTGTTTGTGTTTGCAAGAGGGCGTGGCTGACTAATCCACAACTTATCCAAATCTCCTCATTGACTCCGCTGCCATACTCCACTCTACACCATACTCTTCAGTCTTGTTGATTAAAAACCATTTTACTTTACTACCACCAAAGAGTCTGCTCCTCGGTCTGCTGAACTTAAACCTAACAAATACAGGAAACATATGTATAAAGTAACATGCTACGGGTTTTGACATCACCTGTATCTGGTCTGTCCTAAGTGTGTTTATTTCTTGTTTTTATCCTAATGCACATTCAGTAGTTTATATACAGTCAGTGGTTGTGGCACTCCCAATTTCATTGTATAAGTGTCTGCGCAATCATTGTATAAGTGTCTGCGCAATGACAAAAGGCTATCTTATCTTATACATTATTAGAAAATATATTGATTAAATATGATTTAGTACTACTGTTCCAGTGATTTGTCGTGTCATATCTGTATTATGACTCAAAAATCCAGAAATGTTTTCCTGATCTGAACTGTTTGCTTTAGTCTTTTCCTATTGCACCTGGGCTTTTCAAGCAATTTTCTGTTGCATGATTAATAGCATATGAAAACATAAAATAAAAGTCAAATAAAATTAGTAAAAATAAAGCACCCGCTTTCTCAAGGGGATCTGAGATTTGGTTCAACTTTCCTAAAAACAATTTCACTGCGTGGTTTTTTCATCGATGCTGTCATCACTTACTGTTATCAGTAACCTTTATGCAGTGGCTCTTATCGTGGTGGAGCAAACACAATGCATCTAACTTGTTTGCATTTTGTAAATCCAGCTTTAGTTGTTGATTTAACTATTTGAGAGTTTATCCTCTGTGACAACGATTACAGAGGTATTCTCACAGAAAATTGTTTTCTGATTAATAACTAATAGCACTGACTACATGTTGGTGATGTACGCAGACTTCTCAGACAATACAAGAATCATTCTAGTTGCACTGCTCAGCTTTGGCACAAGCTTCATGTGGACTTCTGTGCCCTTGGAGAATGGAGAAGTCTTAGTGTAAATGTACTGGAACATGAAACTTCCCAGAAGCAAAGACTGAAAATAAATCACAACTGAGCACCTTGGAGTTTAGCAGCAGACTCTTGTATTTCTGTTTATTTTATGTTGCCCATTCCTTCTTTATTGATTACTGGAAGCACCATGTTTACCCAATAATATGAGGAGCAATGACTCTGACCCACCCTGGCGCCATGAGGGCTTTAACTTCCTCCTCTTCTCTCATTAGTGGGCCATCAGTCAGGGGCTTCTCTTCAGGGTCTGTTTTGTCTCACTGTAATTTTTCCCTCATTTCTCTTTATTTTCATTTGGCAACAGAACAAAACAAAAGTGCAGTAAACATCTTAATTGTGAAGCACCAGGAAGTGTCAGCCGTTGTTTACTAAGGCCTGACAGAGCTGGCTAAAGCTTGGAATGACTGGGTGAAGGGAGAAGGTGGAGGAGGAGGAAGAGTGAAAGGTTGGGAGAGGAGGATGCAGGCCTCACTGCTGGATCCGACGCAGCGACTGCACTTGGAAGGACTGAGCATGGGAGCCCCACTCTCTGTAATGTTTGTACTCGCCGCCATGTCGATCACACTCCATGATGTACTGGTAACCACGGTAACCTGGAAACTGGTAGCACACCCAGCTGGAGGAGGAGGAGAGAGAGGGAGGGAGGGAGGGGTGGAAGAGGAGCGGAAAGCAGTGGTTAATGATTAACATGGGGTTTGCACAGTAAGCAGAATTAAGACTACATGATATGACATGCATTTCGATTTAAAATGGCCGTGGTTCATAACTGTATGAGATGAAAGCAGCAGTTAAATACTATCGGCCTCTGAGCATTCAAACCAAGGGAAATATTAAAGGTGGAGAGACAATGTCAGGTTAGGCTAGTCATTTTAATGACTGCATTTGACTAGATATTCTAGCTTTGTTGGCGTTTACAATCATAAAATGGGCCTCTTTATGGTGTCATCTGGCAAAATTTGATTTGTCTTTGATTTCTATTTCTGTTTTAATTAGTCAAGTGGATAAGACTGGAATGGGAGTTGCTGTCTTACACTGTAATAGGATAGGTGCATACAAAAACTGCAAAAAAAGTAATCTATGAAAGTAGAATCTTATTTACATTATGATCATCTACTACATACAATATAGAATAATGGTTGAAAATGAAATGACATAACTCCTGGAGTTTATCCTGATTTAATACATTTAACCACAAACTACAACTAAAAAATTAAGTTGCCATAAATAATGAAATACCTCATCTACACCTGAGGAATGGAATCAGGTGGTAGTTAAGGTGTCTATAGATTGTTAGTGTTGGTGATTTGAAATACACTTTGCTCTTGTAACAGCAAAACAAAGTGTAATCAAGTCTCTTGTAGTGACATCAAGTCACTTGCAATGTGACATGTTCATGAATGTCTAAACAAGAACACTGTCCTTTTAATTTTTTCATTTCCTACTGATATTTCTGTTATTTTGTGTTCCATATGTAAATTATTAAATGTAGCCTGTGAGTCAATGCCAGCATTCACTCGTCAAAAGCCTGTAAAGAGTGATCCATCTGAGTGCAGAGGTTGAGACTTACGAGCCACTCTGAATTTGCATAGACCCAATCTCGTTGTTGCCCCAGCCCATGGCCTGCAGAGAGGCATAGTCATCATTGATCTCCCACTGCCGTCCCATGAAGTTCTCCTTCTCAAACAAAATCATCTTAGACTCCTTGTGATTCTGTGTGCACATGACCGAAGGAAAGACAGGTTCAGTCAGAGTTGTTAAACACAAACCAGCACCAGTTATACTATTTTAATATTGTAGAAGACAGTGGGAGCAAGCTAGCGAGGATGTTGCTCATGTATATTGCTAAGATCTAAATATTTTTACACTTTTTATTCCTAATTTACAGTTGTGTTCTGTAACAATAGTGACAATGGTGAAGACTGTATCTGAATACAGTAATATAGCAAGTCAGGCTTAAATTTGTGTTCAGCAGATGCTGTGAACACTTTTGAGTCATTTTTCACAAGGTTTACTTGTGAACCTGCTTATTTTTCATAAATCCAAACAAATTTTCAGGTTCATCCATTTATCCATCCATCGTCAACCGCTTATCCTGTGTACAGGGTCGCAGGGGGCTGAAGCCAATCCCAGCTGAGATCGGGCAAATTTTCAGGTTCAGAGAGGTTAAAGTATGCCTTCCCATTAGGAAAAAGTTGTAGAATTTTTACCAAATGCATCTAATTTGTGTGGGTGTTGCATTCTAGTCTATTTTTAGCTGCAACCAGCAGCTGGCATGAATCCCTCTGTAGGCATAAGAAACCAAGAGAAACCAGGGTTCTGATCCCAAGTGATTGTACTTGATGAGTCAAATTTAGTGCTTTTTAACTCTGAATTTGACACATGAAGTCAGAGAGACGGACTCACAGCAGAGCAGATGGGGCGGAAGGACATCATCCTCTCAATGTGGTAGGCGTTGCTGCCGCTCCACGACTCCCAGTGAGGATACTCTCCTCTCTCCAACACAAACTGCTGTCCACAGAAGCTGGAGTGCTCATATCCTGCCCAGCTGTCGACATGTACACAACATGCAAGACCATCAGGACACTTGTTAAACAGACTGATCGTCAGAGAGTGAACCACAGAACATGTATAGACTCATTTACATTACTTTTAAGGGGCAACCATACTTTATTATGGTCCATCTTGACAAATTAGTTTTTATATCTTTTTTTTAAATGGAATTGTTGCTGACTTTTAAAAATATACATGTACTGACTGGTAGAAATGTTTATTGTAGGTTATTTCCTCCTGTGTGAAATGTTTTGCAGAGCTCTTTGTTTGACTTACGCGCCACACTCCACCTTCAGGGAGCGGATGTTGTCAACGCCACACTCCATGATGTTCTGGCAGGCTGAGGTAAATTCCAAACGCTTCCCCTGGAAGTTCTCCTGGTCATAAACTGTGATCTGGAGAGGACACAAATGCATACATGTAGTATGCACATGCCGCACGCACACACTGATGTGTGTACAGACACACACGTCATTGACATCATCAGACAAGGCATGAAATTAAAAGAAAAATGTAATCTGCTTTTGTTAATCGTCCGTGGCAAGACGTGACACTCACCTTCCATGGTCCCAGTGGGTTGGGATTATTCAGAGCCATGCTACTGTGTATCTCAATGCTGATTTACCTGCAGTGTCGAGAGCAGGGAGAATAATAATTATGTTCATATTCAAAGGCTAATTAAAACATTACCCGGTTCAAATATGTAGTATCCAATATTTATGTATTTGACCTCTAACCCCTTGTTTTGTTACCTCAGAATAGTACTGTACCCTTCTATGGGTTTGACCTTTTATTTTGCAGACTCAAACCCCTCTATGGTACCTAACAGATACCTAAACATATCCTATATAAGCTATGTTTGATGTACAGAGAGACAGAGTGGCCATCGGTCTGGGTCACTCTCCAAGCTGTTGCAGAGCTTGTAATTGATGCTGAACTCCTTGATTTAATAAACTTTTATGATCAAGAACAGTGTCAAGCGGGTTTCCTCTCAACACATCATCGCAGCATTACTGTTCGGACACCACAAGCACAACCTGTCACCTCCTCCGCACGAACTAGAATGTGTGTTTATGAACTAATTTTAATTATCAGTTGCCATGTAGGAGGCATATTCATTTTTTTGTGTTTTGTGTTCTTGAAATAGACTTAAACATATTACAGCATCAGTACAAATTCCTAAAGTAGAAAAAATCTCTATAAAAGAACAGATCACCTTTGTGTGTCATCTGTTGGGTATGAAGCCTTTCTTGAAGCACTACATGCTCACACTTGATGCAGCCAGCTTTTGATGTAGGCACAATCCTGTTTGTTTTCCCAGTGCACAGTCAGTATGTCTATGCATTTGCATGTCTGACCTCAGTCTATACATCTATGTGGCTCAGCAGAAACAACAAAGACAAAATGACACACAAATGTAAAGTGACAATGGTCCGCGCAAGTCTATAGGCTGAATGAATTGAGATGGAGGGCTTACCTGACCTGGCCCCAAAGAATAGCAGTTCAGTGCTCACAGGGGGCTCCACAAAAACGATGTCCTGACCCCAGAGTAAACGGACCTATTTATACATGCTGGTGCTGAAAAGCAGCTGGGCCTGTTGGTCGGGGCAGGAGTCAGCACATTGCTCTTCCAGTCATTGTTCAGCACTGAGCTACTGGGCTTTAGTTCGCCACAGTGGGACTGGATGGAGGGCACCGTGCCCAGTGCAGATAAGCACAAGTTCCAAATGGTCCATAACCAGTGGGCTGGACCAAGTCCTGGCAAAGCTCGGTACAGGAAACAGATCATCACAGCTGCTGATAGTCTTGCCAGTGACTCTGGCTCAGGAAAAACACATTTAGTGTACAGCAAAAAACAAACAAAAATGGCAGGCTGAACACAGTTGGTCACTCAGTTCTGGACCCAAAAAGGCACTGACTCAAAATGACAAAGGTGTCTAATAATCATTCAATAATGGACTTACTAAGTTACTCCTACACTGCGCTCTGCTCTGTCTCTGATCCGTGTGTCATGTCCACCTCAACTGACCCCACATCTCTTGTCCTTTCACCTTTTCACTCACTCCTGTACACAAACATGCTCAGTCATCTCACACACCATCATGGACAGAGACACACACCCAAAGGTCTTTCCCTGCACCCATTCAGCACATACAAAGGAACTCAAAACACTTACACATTTACACACATCCATTTGGATGGTGACAGCTGACCTTGTAGAGTACTTGTGTGACTTCCTGTAAAAGTACATTTATGTTGTATTTGATAAGAAAATCTTGCAAACACCTCACACAATCCTCTCTACTGGACAGTTCACCCAGCCACCACTAGTCTAAATTCATGGTAATTTTGACAAAAACTCCAATAATACATTTTCACTGTTTATACACATATTATAAAAGCTTCATATGTCCATACTTATTAAATAATTAAAAACTGTCTGACAACAATACATTTGTTTAAAGTTTGTTTGGAAGCAAACAGTGATTTATCAGTCATTTAACCTCATTACAGATGCAGTGAACGTAAAAACCTTCAGTATGTATGTTTTACTATCCATAAATGACTTGTATGGTGTCAATTTGAATTCATATTTGAGTGTAATATTTTATATAAAAGCATCCTATTCTGTGTTTAGTATGTAGCTGATAGTTTTCTAAAATCAATTTTTTTGATGGCTGCAGAATCGAACTGGTGGTGTTGTTTTGTGTCAAAGCAAATTGATATTTCAAGCAAACGCAAACAGATGATGATAGTTATAATGTTGACATTTTCTGCCAGGCCAACTCCTGTTTGCTGTCAGCAAACAATGCCAATATAAAGACCTATGTTGTCTTTGTTGTTGCAAATGTAGTATGACTTTTTTTAAAACACACAAAAAAAGTGGAGAGAAAAAGAAACTCAAACAGATATTACAAATACAAATAGTTGGCTCTCAGTCCTTCTTCCAGTGTCCACTCTATAAATGTCTAAAATAACTCTCAGATGTGCTGATATTGTCTGTCTATTTGCAAAAACCAAAAGATAAAGATTCCTGTGTGTTTCTGTGCCCTTATAATTAATTTCATGAGTATTTGTCCGCAGGGCTCCCACCACTGCATCACAATCATTAAAATTACATCAGATGGTCCTATTAGCGTTGTATGCGTTTAAAAGATCTTAGTGCCACATTTATGGGCAAATAGTCATATTCCTACATGTAAAATAAATTGTTGTGACTCAGAGAAAGCAATCAGACAAATATGAATATTTCATGTTGTTTATACAAAACTGAAAAGGCATTTAACATATTTGTGGCCTTTTGGGCACATGAATAGCATCTTTATTTATTTTCACAAGTTACAAAAAGAAAATGTTCTGTTGCATGTGTGCCACCGTGCATGTACAAATACTACTGTGCATGTGACATGAGTGTGTAAGGGATGTTGTATGAGATGTGTATGTATGGATACAGCTTGTCCAGCACTATAATAAACAAGAGGGTCCAACACTCGCCTGTCTAAACAATGGAGAGATGGATGCTGCTCCTGCATCAGCACATTATACACACAGGGCTCAAAGGCTTGGACCAGCTGAACCAAGGACCAAAAAAAGAGAGAAATAATATGGAGATGAACAACAAACCAGATCACAGAGAACTGGAGAAAATGACAGAAGGGAAGAATGAAAAAAAGATTTCAGAAAGAAAGTGAGAGACAGTGTGAGACCTCTGTATATGTGAGTGTGTGTGTGTGTGTGTGTGCGTGTGTGTGTGTGTGTGTGTGTGTGTGTGTGTGTGAGTGGAAAGTCAGGCAAACTTTCTGCTGATGGCAGTGACTGTTAGCCCCCACAATGGGGCTGGACAACAAAACAAGCAGCCAAGTCAGCACGACTTGTCCATAGATAAGCAGCTTGACCTTTGACCCCGCACCATGCTCCAAACAGCTCACAGCCAATGAGAAGTCAGAATTCTGCCGCTATAGGCCAGGGCTGGATGTGAATGTATATATATATCCCCACTCAAAACGCCTGCGTCCATCACTTTCTCCAAAGGTCGGTCCGTTCCAACCTGCAATTGTAACTGTAAGTTTCCGCTCCAAGGTCTTCTAACTCTTTGAGAACTGCTAGAATCATTGGATATTAAGAGGGAATATTGTGGTTTTCCTGTCTACTCACACTTTGGACTGAAAGAATCAAGCAAGGATTTGCTCTCTGAAACCTTAACCTTAACTTTGGACTGAGTAGATGGAATATTGACATAAACTGAAGTAGTGTATGAATTTATGTTTAAGTGCTGCTCTCATGTTCAGTGGCTCATCTTGAGGTAAAATGGATGAGAAAGATGAGCGACGGTGTCTTATCATTTATCCTTAAAAAGTTGGATCAGGGCAGGTTTGAACAGATAAGTTCTTTGTGGCTGATTTATGAGTGTTTAAAATTTACAGAAGACTTAAAGGGAAGAATTAGATAAAACTGTTGCTACAAAAGGTTGGTGGAATGGACTTTGTAACCACTCCACTTTTACTGGAAATGCAGAACTGGATTCAAGCAACAAGCAACAGAGCACACCCATCAGTGGTTGTGATTATGGTCAGAGGTGAAAGGTCCAGTGTAGATGACCCTTTAAAGCCTTCATCAGGATGCACATTCAGACTGTTCTTCAGGGTATAAATTATTTCACAATATGAAATTCACAAAATAATAGTACATGAAGAAATCTATGCTTTCCTTCCTGTTAACTTAATTCATTGTTAACATCAACAGGAGACATGCTGTATTAAAGCCCTGCTGTTCAAGAAACAGAATGTTCCCTTTAGTTTTTTAGCTAATTTTGGTTCTTTAAAAAACATTAACATCTTCACATTGACTTTCATTACATTTAAATATCAATGGGTACTTCAGTTCATGACATTTGCTGAGGGCCTTTGGACAGCTGTTACAGTGACATCATCTTGAATGCTAAATATATGAATGAATACAAATGTCTGCTTGTGCAACGGAAGTATCCTTCCAGTGACTCTTATCGACAAGAGGAATCCTTCCGCTCAAACACCTGCCATTTTACACACCTCTCTCTGTGTTTTGGAGCACATGCTATATTCAAACAGTCAGTTAATTACCCTCTTTAAACACTCACAGTGCTCTGTGAACATGGCTGACTTACTTTGTTCTTCTCTGTCTAGATCTGATCATGTCTCACTCAGGTGCTCAGGGCAGCATTGGCAGCCACTCTGCCATCGGGCTGCACAATCACAAGGTACTCCTACTGTTTCATCAAATAATCCTTAAAACTATAAAAAGGAAGTGTGCATTGAAAATATTTGACTTCAGAAATAAATGCATTTGGCTTGTGTTACTTTTCAGATATACTTCTATGAATATGAGAACTTCCAAGGCCGTAGGATGGACCTGTTTGGAGAGTGCCGTAATCTGTGCGAGAAGGGTTTCGACAGAGTCGGCTCCATCAGGGTAGAGTGTGGACCGTAAGTCACCAAACCTGCCATCGAAATATGTGTTACAATCCTGTATACCTTTTCCCTAACAAATTAAAAGTGACAAATTTTTCTGTCTATCTATCCAGCTGGGTGGGTTATGAACAACAGAACATGACGGGTGAGATGTTCATGCTGGAGAAGGGAGAGTATCCCCGCTGGGACACCTGGTCCAACAGTTACAGGTGCGACCGCTTCATGTCGGTCAGGCCCGTCCGAATGGTAAGCAGGGGTCAGCCTGCAGGGTTTTTTAGACATTTCCTGTCTATTGTGGCTGAGAGCGCTGATTTTTTATCATTGTTGTCATCTACCCTCTCATCCATCTTCTATTGGCACAAGAGAGTGCTTTTTGTGGTAACAGCTATATGTATATTTATAAGCTCATTACACTGCCATTATTTTTGGATTAAAGCTTTCACTAGCTGACATGCCACTATGTTTCAATTTATAAATTTCAGACCAAAAAAATCAAGACAATAAGCACTCATAGCTTTCCCCGAGAGGTTTGGTTGTGGCTTCTAAAACAACCATTTAAACCAATAATCAGTATAACATATCAATAATTGTATTCTTGCATTATTTTGTTGCTCATCTAACTTTAGTGATCCTGACTGGATTTTTCTTGTTTTAAATTTCTTTATTGGTTAATATCTGGGACAGAGAGTGAACCAGAAGCCGCGCCAACAACATCTACAGTATCTGTGTGATAAGTGGTAAACATTACCTTACTTGAAACTTGAAAGTGATGTTTGCACATTTGCAACATCTGTGAACATCTGTAAACATACACAGGTTACATCCTCTCCGTTTTAAACACTGTACAAATCTTTTCAATTTAAAAACAGATATATAGCCTATTAAATATTTTTGATACATGTTTTATTGTACACTTCTATTTTATTTTCTCTTACTATGTCTGTTGTTATGCATCAAAATACCAAGGCAAATTTCATACGTGAAAAACCTGCTTGGAAATAAACCCGATTATGACTTGATGACCTGATGTTTGTCTCTTATAGGATCCCCAGGACCACAAGATTTGCCTGTACGAATGTCCAAACTTTGAGGGTCGGAAGATGGAGGTGTGTGATGAGGATATCCCAAGCCTGTGGTCTTACGGCTTCCAGGACCGTGTTGCCAGCATTCAGGTCACCGGTGGAACGTAAGTAATTTCCAATCCTCTCTCTGGGATTGTTTCTATTTAGCGGGAAGGTTGAAGTGCCTTAAAGATCACAGAAACTGACTAAAGCTCTACTTACATAATAATATTGGTACACTGAGAGAAGAAGTGAATCTATGCAGTCCCAACAGGTGAGAATGTCCCTCAGAATGAACTGAAAACTGAGAGGACACACAGTTTTTGGTCAACATAAGTAGAGCTCTGTCGCTCACATGTTTTTCTCTCTATGCCCCCACACAGCTGGGTGGGCTACCAGTACCCTGGCTACCGTGGCTACCAGTATGTTTTCGAAATGGGCCCTTACAAGCACTGGAATGACTGGGGAGCCCACCACCCCCAGATCCAGTCCATCCGCAGGGTGAGAGACATGCAGACGCACCGCAGGGGCTGCTTCGAGATGACCGCATAGAGAGGAGTCCAGCAGACTGTGGGCTAACAGGAGGGAATAGCAAGGGGTCCGGCTTGCCATGCTGCTAACCATCCCTTGGAATTTCTTCAACAGCCACTTAGCCACACACGCGAATGGCTTTTGAATATTGTTATTGCTTTTACTGGTGGGAGTATGTGGCATCGTGAATGATTTTGATGAGAAGTTCTGCTTGTCACAGACTTCCAGAGTAATGGTAAAACCCGTAAAAAGTGTAGCAATACTCTCTGTCTACAGACCTCATAGAAAGTCCTCATACCATGATTTATCATATTTATGAAAGCGGGATTATAGGCGATTAGCAGATTTAAATTGATAGTTTGTGTTTATTAGTTTGTTCCAATGCTATTATAACACTTTTATTTTATTTTTATTTACTTGCTTATGTGTTTCTAGCTGAAATGATGCCAATAAGCACTCTCCCTCTCCTGGGATCCACAGATTTTAAGAGAGTAAAGGGATAAACAATCATATCACTCCTCACAAAGTACCACTATGGATAGCTGTCAGCTCTGCACATGCCCTGCAGTAAGTTTGCCAATCAGAAGGAGGCACTCTCTCCTCATCGCTTCACTGGAGGAGGGTACCAGCCAGTCTGTGATCAAACAAGAGAATGGTGGCTGTGCAAGGTTGTGTTTTGCGGATGTGGATATCTTTTGCCTTGTCCGCTTCAGCTCATTGATGGGGGCTGTCCAGAAGATTTGCATTTTACACTTTCTCAGGGATGCTGGCATCTGGAAAGCAACTTTCCAATGAAAAAAAAAATGAAATAAAGATATTATAATGCTGAAAGATCTCCTTTGTTTTCCTTAAGCTTCACAATGATCTTACTCAGGTGCTGGACATCTATTTAAAGTGCCACTAGTAAGTTTTTTTTATTAACAATGGATCAAAGGAATATGTGTAATGTGAAAGAGGACATTAGTATTGATGACCCCAAAGGTAATTACTCCTCAGTTCCCCTATGGAGCATTTTAGATGTTTATTTATGGTTAAATTACAAGGCTCTCTCTCTCTCTCTCTCTCTCTCTCTGCTCTCTTCAGCCGTTTCCAGTGGCTCCAGATAGTTGATTTCAACAACAAAAACAAAAACGCTCTGACAAACCCTCCCTACTGCACACAGACAAAATTAGAAACTGGTTGGTGAACACTAGTGTAGCATTTAGCAGCTAAGGAGGCAGATATTTCCCTCAGAAGTTGGTGAAGACCAAAAGAAATTTAATTTCAGCTTTAGGTTTTGGGAAGCTAAAAGGCACAGTGTGAACGTATAACTTATAGCTACTTCTAAAGGAGAGAACCTTTCGTTCAGCAGTGATATAAACAGCTTTCTGACCAGTTACCGCCCCTCCCTGTTTACCTAAACAATAGGCTGTACTAATTTCAAGATGTTAGGCTATTTCTGACAGAAACTTCTGCTGCACCAGAGGACCAGAGGAACTTATCTCCGAGGTACTGTGGGGTGAGAAATGTGTACTGAGTAATCAGTTACTGTTCCCGAGTAAAGCCCAGCAATGCACGCACTGGATGACGAGGCGCGCAGACTGTCAGCCACGCACCGCTAGTCGGTTTAAAGCCACAGGATTTGGATTACATAGCTTGTGAGACAGCCGATGAGCCTTGAGCACGGGAGGGAGGGAGCTAAGGGCTGATTTTTATCTTTTACCGGATCGAGAAGGGGAGGAGGCACGGAGAATGAGTTATTCTTATACCAGCACAGAGCCTGTTTGCTGTGAGGTGCATTAGCCAGCGCGCAACTAAAGGCTGCAAGCAAGTAAATCGGCTCCTGCGGCGACGACGCCGAGAGCACCAGAAAGCCTCAGTTTCTGTCAGGTTGCACACCGAATAGCCCTCTTCTGTTGGACATGAAAGTGCAGCAAGGCTGCAACTCATCAGACATGGGGATCCCGGTAACAACTGAAGAAGAATTGCGCAGAAATACCGTAATAACGCCCGAGGATGTGCTTGGGCTCCAGAAGATCACCAAGAGTAAGTAACCTGCTTCTGTAGTTGGCACGATGGGTGAGTAGTTAAAGCCTTACAGTTAGAGGGGATTAATGAAACCCATCTGCTGTTGCTTTGTCTCTCTGTAGCCTATCCAGTGTAACATACTGACTGCGTTAATTTGCAGTTTTATTGGCTGTCTCGATAGATACCATGGACAGCGACACAGTCTGAAAGGACCTCTGAGTCTCCATAGCTTCAAATAAGACTTTACACGTTTTAACCACTGTGTATTAGAGTCAGTGAGCAGTTATAGGTTTACCGTCTTATCCAAGGACAGTTACTATTGGGCCTTAGATTGCTGTAAGGGGCAAGCAGCCCGTTGAGTTCAGCAGTTTGTAGGTGTTTGCATGTTTGTGGGTGGTTGCATATGTCTGAGTGTGTGGGCATTGAAAGAGCGAGCAGGTGACTATATATGTAGCCTACTTCCTGGTGTGCTTTTCAAATCCTGCTGAAGAAAATCTGGCTCTTACTTCATCCTCACCTCAAGACACCTGTGGCTCTGAGGTAACAGGTGGCCAGAGATGTGATCCGCTGATTATAGCTCCTCCCAGATAGTTGTCAGCCGGAGCAAATACAAGAGAAGAATACAATAAGCTTGTTGTTTAATATATAATGAAAACTGTTTCCATATTATGCACTGGAAACAGGACAGGGTCAGCTGTTAATGGCTGCAGAGAGACTGTAAGCCAACTATTAGGCTTGGCTGTAAGCCTGTGAGTTGAGGCAGAGGAAAGGAATTTTGCAAATCTACTACATAATACTGTACACTGTCACCTGGATTGCTTTATGTTTTACTGATAAAAATAAGCTTTTGCTGACCAAGATGTAGATGTTGTGGGTGATTGAGGGTGAGATTGGAACTGAATGGGTGAAGTGGTATGACACAAGACATGTGATCAGTGGAGTCACTTCTAATGATGACCATGAAAGTTCATTCTTCACCATAGAAATATTAGTTTGACATATTTGAGGGGGGGGGTCTTCACCGAAGGGCTAACTACTAGCTTTTTTTTTCTGGAGCTTTCAACCTCATCTCAAGAGCTTCATCAGCAAATGTGAGCAAACTCTATTATTAGTGAGTGTGAGAGGGGTTTGAGAGCTCTGAAAAATGCCATAGTAATTTGACCTTGAGTTACTTTTTTGTGTGTAATGTTACATAAACCAAATTTCCGAAGATATAGCATGAAGAAAACATTCTTATTGTTGCTATTAGTAATCCCAATTCCACAACAACAAGATTGAAACCTGCTTTCATTCTAAATGATTGATTGGACATTGATTGAACAAAAACACAATAGCTAATTATTATTGTTATAATCTATCATTGTTTTCTGATACTGTAATAATGATAATAAGATAATTTATGTTCATTTTCATTCATTCATGTGTATTGCAGTGATCAAAACTGAACCCACACAAACACAAAATCCCCCAAAATTTCAACACCAACTCTCTGCCCTCATCCCTTGTGAGATTGTGAGATCATCTGTTTTCATTTGGTACCCCCTCAGCGGAAAAACTATAGGACTCCATCAGTGCAATTATACCTAAATAACTCATGATGGTGCATCTCCGCTCTCCATTGGCATCTAAGTAATCTGGATTATGTCAGGAGAGCTGTAACACAGCATTCTGCAACAATGCAATACACCTCAGACAATGAATCACACAGGAGCTGAAGGGGAAGTGACTTTGTTTACATTTTGGATTTAATATTCATATTCATATTCGAAATGTCGTTGTTGGGTTCCCCAGCCCTTCATTTACTGACTTTAAACAGCTGTCCATTGTAAAATGCAACATGTAACATGTAATATCCACACAAAAAAAAATTGATACTTTTGTCAGCAATGACATTTCTGTTCATTTGAACCATAGCTGGAGGATATTTAGGCTTATACAAATGAACTGATGTTGAATCTGCTTCCTTGTTTCTCCCCAAGGCTCAATCATTTTGAACAACAGACCACACAAAAGACCTAGACCACAGAGATAAGCATAGTGTGCCGCGCAATTCAGGCAATCATTTTCTGCTGCAATAGAAAGAAAATCACAGTTGGAAAAGAGGGAAGCAGAAAATGCCTCACCCCGTGAATGACTTTCCCAGTTTTTGTGCTTTCGGGAGGTAAATGCCACCATTTTGGGGCAGCCCAGCTCCAGTCTGTCACGGTGGTTCAGTGCTGATAAGCGAGGCACAGCGCCTCATTGTCACACAGGCAGAGAGGAGAAGAAATATAATCCAGGCAGTGGAGAGGTGCTGCTGTGAGATGAAAAATGGCACATTATCAGTTTACTGTTTAGGTGATGGATGTGATATGTGCGCAGGCAGATATAAACAGAAGCACTGCTGTTACCGAATAAATGTTAAGTTTATAATTTACATTTTGAAAGCAAAGAATTGCAATCATATATGATGGACAATCGAAGTGTGATATAGAATATTCCCTGGTTATAACCAAAATATATTTTTAAGTGTTCTTTTATAAATGTTTTATCATGTTCAGTGCATTTTGTGGAACAGTTTTGTGTTGAAATTGTTATTTACTTCTCGGTTGTACCCTCTTTCCTCTCATCCACTATGTCTAACACATGTAAGTGCACTGGAGTGAGCAGTCAGAGCAAGAGAGTGAGGATTTCCTGTTTGTGCCTCTTACCAAAGATTTCCTGTTTGTGCCTCTTACCAAAAATGTTCTTTAGTCTTGCAATTTGCAAGTATTAAATGTAAACCATGAATTTAAAAAAGACACTCCTCTGTTGGATCATATCAACCTCAGAGCTCCAGATCCCTGTCCTAATTCACTGTGATACAAACCGAAAACAGGCTTGCATTATAAATACGCAGGGGACTGCTTTGGTGGGGGCGTGTTGTTGTTCAATACAACATGAGGCAATGAAATACAGTCCAGGAAATCCAGTTTGGGTAACAGATGAATGTGTTTAAAGGCTTATCAGAAGCTGAAACACCATATAATGGTTTGTAATACTCAAAGACAGGATTGTACAACTACGGAAAGTTATCATGGCAGCAAATATTTTATCTTTTGCAAGGTAAAAAGTAGATATGCAGCATTTACATTAAAACGTAGTCCACCAGGAAGGTGTGCTTGCATGTATCTGATTGGCTAACTCAGTGCTTTGTTGGATGAAGTTTTGGTGAAGCAAGAGTTGAGAGGTTAAACTTTTTTGCCAGACGACCCTGCGTTGGTTTGCTGGAGCTGCCACTGGCCACAGAACTGTCACCATTCAAATAATGAAAGGGCTGCTTTTTTTCACTCAGGGACTCAAGTTGGTCTGAACTCGGCCTCAAAGGAAAGGTTCCCAATTTTTCGACTATCAAATCCACACATTGACTTCAGATGAACATTTTGTTCTACATTTTAGCACAGAACACTTTGAAGTTTGTCCACATCATTGTCCCGGCACAGCCTCTGCTCCTCTCCATGTCTCTCTTCCTCCTCTCCGCTGCGCATATCGCTCTCCTGCCAGGCCGTATCTGATACGTTTTCCGACTCTGAGATGTTGCTTCTATCATTCTCACTCTCATTACGCTCATCAATGGGGTTTTAGCACAACCCACATTTAATTGCTTTACAGACGGATTATTAGTGAACTATTAATAATTTAATAAAAGCAACCAAATAAAACCAATAAAAGCAACCAAACTGAACTGTAAGAAATTAATTTACAGGTCCAATAAACGGTATAAAGTAAAGTGTGAATATGATAGAAATGAATAGAAATTGTGTGAAGGTTTTTAAAAGTTTTTTTTCTGTGAAATGAGCATGTGACCTGTTTTGAACTTGCCCCTCAAAAAATCAGAATTGACAGTCATTAAGAAGAATAAATAAGCAGAATCGTTAAAATCTACAGCGAGCAAAGCCTCTTTCAGTGTTATGGGACTCTTGTTTTACAACAGACTTCAAAAAATGTTAAACCTATCCTTTAATGAAAAAAGCAGACAACCGCAGATGGACTGACAGAGAAGGTGATAGCTGTCATCCCGGCCACGTCTAAAGGTGTTTATACCTGGTCTAGCTTGGATGAAAGACCCGGCTTCTTAGGATAATGGTGCACACTTTACTTGTCAAAGGCACTCAGTTGTTGCACTCTGTTCTACAGGTGAAATTTGAAGAAAGTACTTGTATGTAAAGTGAGAAAAGAGCTTAAGAGGGAAGTTTTAATCCTGCCACTATCTGCATGAGATGGACTTGTCGGATTGTCAGTTTCAAAAGTTGCAGAAAATTGTTGAGCGCAACTGCAACATCACAAAGATGTGAAGGGAGAGAGTTTCAGATGCTGCTCAAAGATCTGGCAAGGACTTTGTTTAAAAGCAAACTGATGCCTTTAGGATGCAAAATGCAGCATCCATGAGTATCAAACTAACTTTGATTGCAACCATTCATGTTTTGTTCTATACTTGATTACAAGCTGCTGTCTGCTAATATGTTATTCGTTAATAATAATACTGTAAGTCTCTAAATTTCAATCCTAAAATATTTACCAATTGTTTTGTGTGCATTTATGAAACACTCAGATGTTCTTTTGGTGTCTTTGCTAGCTCCCATCACAATTTCTTCACTTTAAATGTCAAAACCTTACACAACAGCAATACCAAGACTCTTGACAAGAATAGATACAGATAATTAGAGAAAAAGAGAAAAAGTAAAAAACAAAATTGTAATTACTGTTTAATGGGACATAGAAGCTCTAGCACACTAGATCCTCAGTCGCACTGTGGGTATTTTTGACTCAATCCACATCGGTGTGTAATTTTGCCTCATCAAGATGATTTACTCAGAACAGTCTGGTTCCTTTTACACTAATGGGTGATCAATTATTTGGCTTTAATAAGTCTGGGACACAGAGCAGTGCTTTATCTATGTCGGGCGGGATTTCCACTCTCTGATGTCTGCCAACACAATGGATACAGCTTTAATTAAAATTGATTGGTGCTGCCGGTTCTTAATCTCCCATGCACAGCT